CGTTAAATAATGCAAAATTGCAGACAATAATTATTTATATTTACATATTAATTCATAATTATAATAATAATTATTAATAGAACTTTGTATTAATATAAAGTATAAAATGAAAAATTTCCGTGTTTTAGTAAATCATTTGGTCTTATTTATTTTATTGTTTTTATTTTAATATTATTAATTAGGAATAAATGACATTGTGCATTGATATTTTTACAGATATTCATTTCGAAATGAAGCCCAACAACAAATATTCAATTCTTAAGCTAATTGGAATAATTGATTATTTTTTCTAGAATAATTTAAAAATATCTATTATTGCAATGTGTACATTTTACAAGATATACCTTAAGATTCTAATGTTAATCAATTACAAAAAAATTTTAATTTATAATAAATAAAATATAAAATAATAGAAGCTATAAAATTTTCATTTGTTTCTTTGATGCTTAAAACTCTAGAAATGAAATGGAAATTATTAAATCATTTATTAAAAATTTCTTACTTTGGTAAAAATGAATCAGTGAATATTTAATATTAATTTTTCAATTGTGTTACAATATTAGTTTATTCGAAATACACGTTTACTTCATTAAATGGTTTGAAATTATTTTTATTATCATAAACTGGATGTTATTTACATTAGTCTTATATATTGATACTTGTTTTTTATTAAATTTCATTGAATTGTACAAATGAGTTCTTGAAGAATTGTAAAATAGAATTCTTAAAGTACAGAATTAATAAAGTTTTGTTTTTTATTTTGAAATAAAAATAACTTTACTTTTATTGCCAGTATTACTCAATTTTGTATAAATTTATATTGTATATGTATCTATTTATTTATTTTTATTTGATAATTCTAATCAAGACTTTGATAAGAAGATACTTAAACAAGTATACAATTATTTTTTTCATTTCGTTGTTTATCTAAAAGTGTTTTTCTTATTCTAACTCTATAGTGGAATTCAATATGATAAGGAAACAAATATCTTTCTATTGATAAATTTATATATTTATTTTATTATTTCAATTAAATGAGTAGCTTTCAAATTTACATTTAATTTCTTCGAAAAATGCTATAATAAAAAATACTCTTATTTTCGCATGTGCATAAATTTTATAATTTTGTACAATAAATCACTTTTAAAAACAATGTTATTAAAAATATTGACTTTTATATAGATATTTTATATGATATTTTATTTTTCAATAAAATAATAGTGATTATATTTACAAATAATTATTTTATTAAAATATTTAATACTAATTATAAATTCGTAAATTCGGAATGAAATAATTAAATAATTTGTTTTGAACGACAGTTAAAAATAAGTAAAAATTCTAATAGCACACTTTAAAATAAAGTACTAGATATTAAAAATTCGTCAAATGGATATTTTATATTTCATTATCAGATATATATATATATATATATATATATATATAAACAAGTATGTGATACTACTAGAAGGTACTACGTATCAATTACACCCCTAAACGAGACATCAAGAGTGGAACCAGATTTGTTCATTTTGCTGCTAATTGCATGAACTGAAACTCTTCCGGAGTCTCAATTAATATCGCCGCTCGTAATCTTCTGCCATCAAATCGCTTAAATAACGGAAGTGGAAAATCTCTACTCGCATATAAGTCTACCATATTGATAATTCGGACTTTTTCCCTTTTTCTTTTATTTTTTCTATTCGCCCTCCCTGTACCCATGATGTCGTTTTATGTGATACTCGTTACTAACTGCCTATCGACAAATAGGTCAGGAAATGTGCAGCTAGACGTGACGCTTTCGCATGTGACGATGAATAAAAGTTGTATTGTACTGTCCTGTATCCCAATATAATAGACAACAGCATAGCTCGCGATAAAATCGCACTTCTTTCTGTTATATCATTCGATAAATACATGCGATTGTAATACTAAATGAACTGATTATTCATAGTTTACTTCTTGAAACCATACTTTTCGTAAAAAATGGCTTATCTTGTTCAATCTACACAATTATTAGAGTGTATTAATAATAAATCGATGCGTAAAATTATGAAAAAATATTTGTTATTAATTGTAAATATTTATAAATCATTTTTATACAATAATAATTGATACAATAATAACAATTAATATATAATTCATATTTTTTTCATTTTCAGTACCGTTATTTTCATACATAAATTCAGAAACTGCTACAAAATTGACTTTGCCTCACATTATATTCACATGTTATAAACTAAAAAATCAGTAGAGAGCAAATTTTAAATAAATTTAAAGTATTTTTTTCATCAATTATGATATCTATTATCAATTACATTAAAATAATTAGTATCTTTTTAAAATTTTATTTCTTTAAATGCTGCATATTCCAAGAATCCATTTATTACGAAAAAAAAATGAAACTTTGATTAACATTTAAGGTTTAGAAACGTTACAATATTAAAAAATATATATATATTTTTTCGATTATTGATTAAGTAATGGTTGCGATATACTTAAAATAAAATGCAATTAAGTACACATTTCGTATAATAATTAAGTTCATTTTAAATTCTTCATTTTTAAAATTTTTTGTTCTTATTATCATAAAACATTGGTCAAACAACATTTTATAATGTATTATTAAATACAATAATGAATAATCATTGAATATTATTAATAAAATAATATCATTACCAATAGAGTGATAAATCAACGAAGATTTTATTCAATTGTTTTTAATTATGTAGATATTAAATCTGTAAAAATGTAAATAAGCGTGTACAAAACATAATATGTCGTACATTTATAAAATAAAACTGCCTTTTTTGCGGTATATTAATATTATTTCCGTCTAGCATTAATTATAAATATTTTATGAAATGTCGTAGTGTATGTATAATCATTCAACTAGACTAAATATTTAAATAGGAAATAATAAAAAATAAAAATATTATATATTAAAAGGTTAGATAAAAACATATTTCAATTAAAAAAAAATTGTTTAAATTCATCTACCATTTTTTTCAATAATCAGTAGTACTATTTTTTATTCCAAATCGGCTGTCAAAAATACGTGGATAAAACAAAAAAATGAAGGCTAATTAAAATATAATTGAAATTAACACCAGTGAATTATAATTAACATTTTGATTGCAGAAATTATTCACAATACGTACCAATAAATGTTAAATTTAATTATTTATAATAAATCTGGAATCCACAGCCTCCAAATTATGAATATACGTCTTATTTAGGGGTTTAAATGGTAACTTACATTTCTTAAAGGACACATTGTATTCCAGCATAAATTAAATAAGGTATCCCAGTGTTCGTTCATCGATCTTCAAAATAATGCGATGCCTATGAAGAAATCTATGATTTATTATTATGTATTATAACATAAAACAAAATAATCTAAGGTTAATACCATTTTATAGATAAAACGTCATAGTGATTAATTAATTAAAAATTATCTCGCTACAATAGCTAAATAGTATCTTTAGAAACAATTGAATAAAAATGTATACTAACTAATTGTCTTAATTGATAAAAAATCTTTTATCTGTTATTTATCCAGTATCAGTTGTTATTTACTGTATTTCCATTATATACAATAACATTTTAAATTTAGGTACTACATCAAATTAAACTAGATTTTTTAATATAGATTATTCATAGTGATTTTAAATCTTGATTTAAAATTATGACCTAATTAAAACTGAAAATATTTGCAAAGTCTAAAATAGAACGAATAAATGTTCTTTTAACCTAATTTCATCAATACATCTAATTAAATGTAAAAAAATTAAGTAAACTTTTATATTTTAATTTATTTAGTTCTTGAAATATATTTGTATAACAATTAATTAAAGTCTTTGTAATATAGTTTTTATATGGTAGGAGCTATTTTATTTATACAAGTATTGGATATTGTATTAGTATAAATTTCTGATTCAATCATTAATTCGCAATTTCCGTTACTTGATTTCCCGCTTCTTTCAAATAACACAAGAACGACATTCCTTACAATGAAATACTTTTGTGATTTATTTAGAATGTATACACTATACATTTTATGGTTTAGACATTTTAAAATAGAATAATATGTAGATATCACTATAAAAATCCATAATAAACAACGACATAAATAATACAAATTTCATGTGTGAAATTGTAAAAATAGAATCGAATATATTAATAATGAATTAGTTCTTAAAAATTCTCTAAAAGTTCAACGTTTACATCTATTGCACTTAATTAAATATTGATACTGTTTTTTTTAAATACAATAGAATCAGTAAATAATAATGACAACAAATATATTAATAGAAAAAAAATTTACATTTTGTATCCATAGTAATTTAAAATTAATGAAAACTTCTTTGGTAATGCGTAGGTTGCAGTTATACATCTTCAGATTGTCTCAATAACAAGTATTTTATTTCTTTTACAACAATTTATTTGATATTCAATATAATTTTCTTAGATATTAATGTACTTAACGTGTAAAAAGGAGTACGTATAATATGTAGTTGTCTTCGATATGAATTTTAATTCGTACATAGTCGATACATGTTTTGATTAAAAAAGAATGATTATAAATTATAAATTATAAAATTGATTATAAAATTATGAACCTTCATACATACTATTTTTAATACCTTTATTTTATGCCATTAATCTAATTGAAATAAATTATTTTAATGTCTATATAAATATTTAAAGGAACTCGTATATAAATAATTGCGATATGATAAATGATTGTGTATTAAATTATAATTATTTGTTGGGAACATATTTTAAGTGTTAGAATTATTTAATAATTTGTTAGATAATAGACGCAGTGTGCTTACATATGCGTGTTACGCTGTATTATGCTGAACTTCTAATTAATTTCCCAATATTTTCTTCCAGAACATGAATTATTTTTGTTTTATAATCTATATCCGTAATGTCCAATTACTATGCGACATCCTCGCTAGACAGCCAATCTCAGAATTTCCGATTTTTCTTTATCGGTACATTTTATTCTTACAGGTCCGTCTTCGCTGATCGGGAAGGTAGACAAAACGTGGCGGATTCGGTGACCCCTATTAGCAGTGTAACGCAGCTTAGCCCTCGAGACCGAGAAAGTTACCCAAGACACCGAAATGCGCGAATACAAGATCGTGGTACTGGGCAGTGGAGGTGTTGGAAAATCTGCGCTTACCGTTCAGTTCGTCCAGGGCATATTCGTAGAGAAGTACGATCCAACTATCGAGGATAGCTACCGGAAGCAAGTCGAGGTGGACGGTCAACAATGCATGCTGGAAATACTGGACACAGCCGGCACGGTAACGAATGAGTATTTCCTGCCGAAATAGCATATAGAGGATAATGTGATTTCAGTAAACTTTTGATTTTACTTATGATGGGCCTTCTTTACCGACCCATCGACTCTACCTTTTGAATCACCGATAAGTCTATTTACTTTTTTATACATTTTATTATTCCTTTATAAGAGCACCAAGAAATTGATTCCGTTCGTTTATGTCTGAGACCATATACTGAACAATGGTGTAAGTTATTGAATGCTTACGTTCAAACGTGTTTTTATTACTTTTTCATCATTATATACGATTATTAATACGATAAACTTTCTATTAAAATTATTGATAAGAAGTGGACAAGGTCTCTTTTTAAAAAAGATTTATATGTAAAAATTTATATTTAAAAAATAACATATTTTTTCATGAATAATGATTAAAAATTTTTACTCATTTTATGTAAGCTATTATGAAATAAATTACATAATTTTATTATATAAATTATCAAAAAATATAATTCATAATACGACATTAAAGGCATTTTACAAAAGAGTATTCTTATTAAAATCCTTTGAGCACAGCTTGTATAAATGCTATTTTTACAAAAATCAATAGTACGAGAATCAGTGCCAACTTGCATCAAATATTTATTTGTAAGAAAATGCTGGAAGAAGTTATTATATTAATTAATTTAATAATAAATCTTGCTCTTCATTTATAACCACGATATCAATTTAAAATCGATTTTCCATATTTATACTGTAATGGTATTGATTTATCCAAGCTGGGTAAGCTAATCTGATTAACATACACTTCATTGTAATATAATTAAAGTGGCAAAGTAAAGTGGTAAGGATACTGTACAAAATATTTTTGAGATTAGTTATTTATATTTAACTAAAATGTAAATTACATATTTACCAACATTGTTGAGGATACATAAAATTCTATAAATTGAAAAAATTTTTTAATGAATAATATTAAACGGATAATATTTTTAACTTTACCATATTCATAACTAAATTGTATTAAAAATGTCGAAGAAACTATTCAAGGCTTACATAAAAGAAACAACAACTTTAATTATTATTCAAATAGAGTATATCATACTCATTATTATATATTATTTTTTATTCTGTCTTTAATGATTAGTATTACTAGAATTATAATAATGTTATTAATATCAAATTATTAAGATTATTTATTTTAACGTAAAGATTTTAAAGTACTATAATTAAAACTCATTTTTAATTAATTTTTGCTAACTCATGAAACACGTGAAAAAAAAAGTGTCAATGATAAAATGAATACGCATGGATTGGATGCTTATCATTTTTATAAGATATCTAGATAATAGATACATAACAATCAAAGTACCAAACTATTCATAATGAATCAAGTAAAATGTATAGAAAATAAACTTTTTTCATGAAATGAAATCATATAACAATATATAAGCCACTCCGTAAGCCTTACTCTCAAAACTTGACAATTTCGAAAGAAACATCTATTGATTCTTTTCACTTTGATTTAACAGAAGCACGTTAATCATTACTTAAATTGCACTTCAGAATAAATATATAAACAGTAAATTCTGTATATATGTATATAATGTTTTAGATATTAATATACAATTACAAAGTGTTGATATCTATATAATTCTAATTAGAACTACAATATCGTAATGGATAGCAAAGTGAATTCAATTAACATTAAAATACTGTATATATTAAGCTCCTTTTATTTAAAGATCAACGCTTATAAATAAACTTTAGCATTAATATATAAAACTTAATATAATAAATCAATTGTATGAGATAGTTATTACCTCGATACACTACATTTAGAAAAATAAAATATTAATTTCAAACTCCGAAGAAACCAATATCACAATTTTCCAAATTTTTTTAAAAAAAAAAATGTGTTTTATTTAGAAAATTCCTTTTACATAATTAATCTGTAAAATGTTAACAAGTGGTTATTAATTTATACTTTATAATTCTCTTTTCAGAATATCTAAATAAATACTGAAAAAATTGAAGCTTGAAATAGTCGAGTAAAATGTGTCTTAATCATTAAACTTTGTATCAGTAATTGAGGTTTTAAATTATCTTCTTTAATATTCTACAACTCAAATTGGACCAATATCGCGTTTATCCCGCGTTGTAAATATTCTGAATCGTCTGAACAACATTTACTCTTAGCTATAGAATGCTACATTAAATTCACGCTCTTATCATTATGTTTAATACTCAGGAGCAATTCACGGCCATGAGAGACTTATACATGAAAAACGGACAGGGCTTCGTTCTTGTGTATTCGATAACAGCCCAATCTACATTCAATGACCTTCACGATCTGAGAGAACAGATACTCCGAGTAAAGGATACGGACGACGTGCCGATGGTCCTCGTTGGTAACAAATGCGATCTTGAAGATGAGAGGGTGGTGGGCAAAGACCAGGGCATCAATCTTGCCCGGCAATACAATTGTGCGTTCATGGAGACCTCTGCCAAAGCAAAGATTAATGTTAGCGATGTAAGTATATTTATCAGTTCATTTTAATTTCCCATTGATTGTAAGATTCTTTTTTTATCTTTATATGTATGAAGATATGTATTTTCCATTTTTAATAACATTAATGACTTGATGGAAGAAAACTACTATTCATAAATGTCTTAATTGTATTAGTATCGTCGATTGGAAGCCTTCATAAACAATTTAGATTTTTATTTCTTTAATATATAGAATTCTATAATAATTTTAAAAAGTTTTATACGATAATAGATGAAACATTTATATCATGTATAAGTTGTAAAAAAATTATTGTTTATAACTAAAGATATTTTGTTGAACATGAAATACAGAACAATAACGATAAATAGAAACAATAACGATAAAATATCGATTTTATTATCGCAAATTTCCTACACTGTACATTCTGAAATGTGAAAAAGTATAAATATTATTTATTATTCATTTTTATAAAGCATTTATTTCATAATCATAAAACATTGAAACGTGTACTTTGAATTATCTGAAAGTTTTAAAAATTATCTTACACATACATTTGATAATAAATAATAATATTTAAAGTTAAATATTATACATAAAATTTATGCTAAAATAATTATTCTGCGTGGATTTGAATAGTAAGTTTTTAGATAATTAGCCAAGTACATTTAATTTTTAAATTACTTCATTCATATACATTATACATTTATTATAGAATTAAAATAATTATATAATGTGACAAATCTAATTTTTCTATGTAAAACAAAGTTGTTATATAAGGCTACGTTTATTAATATAAATATCTGTTGAAGCTTTTTGTTATGCAATATATACAGATATATAAAAATATTCAATGATCCTTTTTCAGATTTTCTACGATCTGGTGCGGCAAATCAATAAAAAATCACCGGAAAAGAAAATGAAGCAGAAAAAGAAGTCGCTGTGCATAGTACTGTAAAGTGGCAACAGGGCCTGTGCTGTGTGTTTTCGTGTATAAGATGGATGAAGTAAATAATTTGAGGAGGCAAGCATGGAGCTAAGCGAAAAGTTATAAAAAAGTATAAAAAAGTTAATAAAACGAAATCGAAGATACCAGTGTGTTGGTTCACGAAACATAAGAAAAGTAAAATAAATAAGGGAGAGAGAGAGAGAGAGAGAGAGAGAGAGAGAGAGAGAAAGAGAGCATAAAATAAGGTAAAGCCAGAATAGAAACAGAAATATCATAACGAAGTCAGAATATAAACATTAGTCGATAATGAGCTGTACAAGACAAGGGGATGGAGTAGGAATAGCAAATGGATGGTAATTGAAAGGATCAGAAATTAGTTGAAGGGGCGAGACAGACGATTGAATACAACAACCGTTCGGTAGAAGGTAATATAATGGAATAATAAAAGAGTGCGGAAGGAAAGAGAAAAGGATTGAGGCTAAGTGGTCAAGAACCAAGGAAAGAACGGTGTGCTTGGGAAGTTTTATGAATACTTGTATATACACACTTTGGTCCCGCGGTGGCGTGCGTACAAAACAGTGCACAAAGTGATGAGAGCGAACTGAGAATGGGAAATACGTCGAATCTATAACGGGAATAAGACCATTTTTATTATTTCTCGCATCGCAATCACGCGCGGACTTTTACTTACATTCTCTTTCTGGATATACTTTCTATTCATTTTTTTTTATTTTTTCTTTTTCCCCTTTTTTAAAAATATTATCATTATGAATATTATTATTATTCATATTATTATCATTATTTTTATTATAATAATTATTATTAATATTATAATTATTATTAGCGGATATATTAATGAATTAACTAAGAGTTGATGGAATTGGACGATAGGACGAGAAACGAACCCCTTTTTTTCTTTTCGACAGAATATGCTTAAAGTGTATAGTAGCATCAACAGTTTAATTTTCAAATGAAGATAAAATAATTTACTGATATAATAATAATAATATGATATAAAAATTGTGAGAAAGAGAGAGAGAGAGAGAGAGAGAGAGAGAGAGAGAGAGAGAGAGAGAAACAGAAAAACTGAGCATGGAAACGGCAAAGCGTGAATGAATAGTAGATAAAGTCGTCAAAAAATGAAGAATTGTAAATGAAAAAAGAAAAAAATGTTCGAAAGTGCGCTTGCTCAATGTCAGGCTACCAATCAGTCGCACCCTGAACAATGAGCATCACACTCAACACTCTTATATAATATAATAATTATACATAGACGAAACATACCACGAAAAACATGATTACTATTATTATTGAAACATCCAAATATTCATAAGTTATTGACTGTTTATTTCTTAATTAATATATGTTTTTCTATATCACCATATTAAAAACATAATAAAAATTGAGTAAGTGTTGAAAAAAAAAAATAATTGAAATTGAACTGTATCGCACTCGATATCCTTCCTTAAAACCTGCCCGACAACCTTCGAATAAAGTAAAAACTGACCCTTCGATGAAAGCTTTCGTCTGACGAACCTTAAGTCATATACTTATTTAAGTGCCTTTTTTTTAAGAATGGAACGAAGAAAAATAATGAAGATTTTTGCGTAAAATCTTTTTTAATACTTTGATAGTTATGTAATAAATAGTTTTTAAACAGAATTTGTTTAAAATTGTATTTGATAAGTATGTAAGATTTAAATGATTTGCATTTTTTTATTTAAGAAAAATTGAGTTAATTATTAACACAGCTTGACAGGCGATTTTGTTCAAGATAAAACTATGACACTAGGCTATTATTAAAAATTAAAATATTCTTTCTTCTTCAAATTTAACTTAGAATAAAGAGTGAGATATGCCACAATCCTTACTTCAATTTTCATAGGGAAGTACTATGACAATGAAAGTCATCTATTGTGGATATAAATAAAAATAAATTTTAAATAATCTTCAAATTACTGTGTAGATGAATTTTGATGTTTTGCGTAATCCTGTAATGCAATGATACCTTAAAAATTGTACTACCATGACATTTCAATTTTATATAATCAATGTAAAAAAAGAAAACAAAACGAAATTAGTTCATGCAATCCCAAATACGTCTGAATTCACGTTGATCGCATTCCGATTAGATTTGTTAGTAGCAATGTTTGTATATTCTTGTAAGATTTCCTTGTTTCTCATCTCTATGCATCCAAATAACTTTAAGCACTACGTATATTATCATTATTATTATTATTATTATTATTATTATTATTATTATTATTATTACTATTATTATTATACATAACATGAAGATATTTGTATTAAAAAGAAATTAGAAAAATTTCAAAGAATTAACATGGATTAAAAAAAATATATATCACTTTCAAAGCTTTGGTTTTATTCGTCAAACATGGAGTTGCCTGAATCTTATAACAGTCGCAAATGTTAACTAAAAAATATATATATCCTAAAAAAAAAAATTTTCATGCGGATTTTTCTAATGTATAGAGTAAAAAGGAAAACAAATAACAAACACTACTTAAATAAATTACCACATCTTTCATTTGTCCACAAAAAATCGAATAATTGATAACGAACAAATTGATTAATATAATATGTAAAATACCTTCATGGTCTACTACTTAATAATAATTTTTAATAGAAAAATATATTCTGTGACATTAAAAGTGACAAATACAGTGGCAGAAAAAATGTGTTTAATCGATACTGATGGTATTTGAAAACCAAAAAGCAGTAATATATAACAAAAAAATTTAAACCTCTAATCCTCATACATTTCACAAATATCATTGCTTTTTTACATGTGCTCAATACATGTAAATAATTTTCAAATAATTTTGTATATTCAACTGATTGTTACAAAATTATTTTAAATAAATATATCTATAATAGAAACAAAAAATATACCTGCCGTTAAATGTATAAATTAATAAAAATAATTTCTTTAATTTTCAACAAGTTCTGATACAAGTTTTAAATTATATGCTATAGATTTTAATAGCTATGCTTATACTGTAGGATAATTATTTTGACTGTGTGAAATTAATAATTTATATATTATTAATTTAAGCCATCAAATAATATATGTTTTTTATAATGGAGAAAGATCTTTCAATTTAAAACTAGTATAATAACTTGTAAAAATAATGTTTTGTTCAAGTGCTTTGTCCTGAATAACAATCATTTTTATACCTTAAAAATTACCTTAAAAAACTCCTTTCTTGTTATTATGACAATTTCCTACTGAATTTCCAAATTATCATTATTAATAATTATTAGTTGACAATTTCTGGTAACGAGTAAATTATGTCACCAATGAGATCAAAATTTAAGTGCTAGACAATAAATGTTTTTATAATAAAAGCAATAACTCAAATTAACTTCTCAAACTATTTGGCAAACTATTTAATTGTAATTAGTTATTCATATCATACTGCTATATAGTTTTATTGTATATATAATTTTATTACAGTAGAATATAATTACTTACAAACCATATCAAATACTTCTTCGAGGTGACATTACAAAATATATATTTTCTATTATTGTATAAGTGTTTTATTAATTGCAAAGTATGTGCAAATAAATATAGTTAACAAACAAATAATTATATTCACTTAAAGAGCAATTTTCATGGTTCACATATATTATACTCTCGATATATCGCGAATTAAGGTTTTTTTACATATAAATATATACATGTTAAGAAAAATAAAGATATAAAACTACAATAAAAATTACTGTCTGATGCCGATCTCTTATTGAAGATTTATTCGAACATCCTTATGCGCCATCTTACCTTTAAATTAAAAAAAAATTTCCTAAAATTTGTATAAAAACTTAGATTTACAAATATTTATAATAATTAGATAAATGCTTTAGCACGAGTCGTTAGGTTATACGCACAAAATTTGTTTTATATCTTGTTTATTTATTCAAAATTAACATAAATTTCTTGAATACATATTGGACTTAGTTCAAATGATTATTCATTACATTACTTATTGAATTAAAATCCAGACACTTATTTTATATTTCAGTACAATAATTATTTGTTTTTGTTAAAATTGTTTATTGAAAACAAAAATTTGTTAAAAATAATTTGAAGGTAATCAGACATTAACAAATAATTTTATATATGTCTAACTGATACATTTTAATAATGATCAGCTGTGATTAAATAAATGTTTATATAAAACAATTTTATAAAAACTTTATATTTCCGAAATAAATTTTGTTATATTTAATTTTCTAAATATTTATTTATTACTTAACATCTTTTTGGGTTAACATGAATTTCCTTTTATTTAAAGTAAATTTTTAAATAAAAATAATCTTTTAAGTCTAAGCAATGTAACAAATTTTATTGTAATTATCAAATAGCATAGCAAAACGAAATTCACTTTTTTTCAGGCAGTTTATACAATAATAAAATAGTCATCCAAGAAAAATATATTTGTTTACTGATATACTCTGATGCAAAGAGAAATTTTTAATTTTACACAGAATTATATTACATATAAAATTCATTACACAATGATATATTTAGTGTACTAGATATAAAAGAGTTATTCTTTCAAATTGATTAAGTATTTAATTCTACCAAAATATCCAGGAAATGGTGAAAAATGCAATATTAACAATTTACATAAAATATATTTTTGGTTAGAATAACTTTATGAAAAAAAATTTATTTTCCAATGCTAAATATTTTTATTTATCAAAAAATATTGTGTAAAAAATAATAAAATGTTTTATTAACAAATATAAATAATATGATATTCTTTTTATAATTATTCCCAGATTAAAACATTCTAGTTATTCATTATTTTAATTTTAAATTTCATAGTTTTAGTTCTATTTTACATATAATACTTAAATGCTTTAACATCAAAAGATCATTTTATTACTAAATTTTAATAATACTTATGGAAACAGAACCTGATATTGTAAGGATATCTATAATTATATTAAATTATTTACTACTAAATAAAAAACAATATATAAAAGTAAAATAAATATAGTTTAGCATCAACATCTTTAAATAAACACACAAATATATTAATTCTCTAATTAATTTGACATTACTTTTTAATATAAATCTTTTTTGTTATTTGTATTTAAAAATCATTGTTACATTTTTAGTTCATAAATTGTAGTTATATTCATGAATTCTTGAATTCTGCTTATAAAATTCATTTGTTTTATTATTTGATGAATATAATATATTTTTGAACTCAATACAAACTAAATATTTGTAAATGTAAATGTATATAATCGTTAGAATTAATACATAAGGATTGAATACATTTAGGAGCATTAGGAGCTACAAATATATATTTTTTCTTGCATAAAATAAATCTTACGCTTCAAACGTATTTGTACGATTTAAACTTTTTCCCAACATAAATAGGAAGATTAAACGATATTTAGAATTTTTAATCATTACCAACTCGTTAATATTTTTTGTATAAAAGTAAAATGAACTATTTTTAATATATTTTGTAACTATGAACAAAATTTCGTATGATTTGAATGTAACTTTGATTCTCATTATTTTTATAATGCTACCATATTTATATAAAACAAAAGAATTTTATTTTAACGGTCGATTAAAATTACATGCAACGAAACAGTAATAAATTTTACAAAAAATAATAAATACACGATGGCTAATCCTTTTAATAGATCTTATATAAAGTAAATTTAATAAATAATAAAATAAGTTCTCATTAAGGTTTTATATTTATCTATATATTTCATATAAATATAAAAAAATATTTTAAATGGATAAGCTGCCATATTTTCGTCATTCTTAATATTATATCAATAAAGTATCATTAATATTTATATTTTTTATAATGAATTTTATGAAGAAGTAACGTTACCTAAAAGAAAAAATATTCTGAAAAGTTCTGGACTTAAAATAAATAAAATCTATTCTATATAATAGTAATAACATTTCTCTTAATTAATGTTTTTAGATTTAAATATGCTTTCTTTTTAACAGAATTATTAATATTTCAAACAGTCTGTAATAAAATAATAACTCTTACTACTACAATATTTTAAATATGTGGATTATTAGTAAACTATTACATACGTACTTTTAAAAGTATTATTATTAATAAATAATTTGCTTGAAATCTTGTAGATTTATAATAATTTATTGTTATGTCATTGTAATATTAGTTTTTTTTGTTCTCAATTTTTTTCAAATTGATAAAATTCCTAGTTGTCTAATCGATAAGACAAGTCTGTGATAAAATTTGCATTTGCATTATCATAAATATAAAATCTTAAAACAATACAATATCGTTATAATGCTTTTAACAATGTATCAATAGTATATCTCTACTAAGTAATCGACATATTTTTAATCTTACTCATACATTAAATGATTTTTTTTTTATTAAATAGCATGGTTCAACCATTGTCACTGAAAATTCAAATAATTATTGCATTTTATTGATGTTGTATATTTATAAATTCAAAAAATATGAAAACTAGACTATTCGCAAAATACCAGTAGTAATCGATTGGAAAATCATAACTTTTAAACAATAATTAGAAAATCACTTGTGCTCATTGATCTCGCTTAATACGTTTTTAAATGATGTAGGTATACGTCATTATAATAAGTCACGCGATAATATGACTACAGCGTCTTCGTAGATGTCGTACTTCCCCATTCGCTTTGAACCTACCACAGTCTCAATATCAGACTCTTAATAATCGTCGCGTCATTATCCATACCATTGACTCTGTTTCTTGGATCCATTAAGGGGACCAATGATAAAGAAAAGCAATGCGTATGGATTATTGTATCAAGAATAGACCTGAGCAGCCTCTCATACGAAGCGTCGTTCGATCAGCCGTCGCAGAAGATCTATCGATAGCGCAATAATGATTTTGTCTCCGAACTCAAAGTCCCCGGCTGAATTTGTAACGTTGCAGCAATTGTTCGTGGCAGCCTCAAGGAGAATCGGATAGTAGTCATTCCAGAATGCAAGCGCCTTATAATCCACGGCCCCAGCGACGTTCATATCGATGTTGCGCTCAATTATTAGGATACCCGGAGTCCGCTCCATATAGGGCTCCCACTTAATACCACCAATCGAAGGGTTGCCTGTGCGCGCGAATCCCGACAACATACCCATCATCGTGTCGGCCATCTTCTTGTCCGCGGTGTTCCACTGAATATTCGTGCTCATGCCGTAAGGGAGACCCCACACAAACGGTAACTCGAACATGTGCGGCACACCGGCCCATTCGGGTACGTCACGGGTCACCGCCTGGGTGCGCGCACGGTAGTCAAACCTGTACACAAACGCCTGTACCCTGGATGGATGGCTGACGGAGGAGAGAAAAAACTCATTAGCAAACATTAGAGGTTTATTTGATTCGCAGATGATAATGAAGGTTGCTATCTGATTATTATTTATTATATTGGTTATAAATTTTTATATATTTTTCCCAGTTAACGATTGGACAAAGGCTTAGATCGTTACTCCTTGGCATTACAGTGCGTATGCTTTTTTTCTTATTGATTACTTACAATGGCTTTAAGGCAGTTTGATTAAATCTTTTGAAAGCAAACAATTATTTTTTAGAATTTGCCTTTTTAAATATGTGTACGGGGAATATTAAGCCTGCGAAAAAGAAGAACTTATAAATGGCATTTAATCAGTCCTAGCTACGATTTTATTTTGACATTATGAATTTCTGTTTCCTAATCAGGTAGTAATGAGGGCATATTAATTCTTAAATTTTATTAATTAATTAAAGATTATTTTGATTATAAGTATGTCTAATTTTAATTTATTTTTCACAACCAGTATACACTGCATGTTTGGTTCTTTTAAATAATATGACCATTCGAATAATTATTCAGTTGAATTGTACGAATTCAAGATAAATATATTTTTAAAGGTATTTATTAATAGTTTTTAAACATTGGCTTTGCCTTGGTAATAATAAATTAACCATTTATAACAATTGCCTTTGTCATTTGAGAAAGAATATCAAAATTACATGGAAAATGAGTGTATTGTAAAGAATTTTTATTTGATCAACATTTTTGTATGATTCACAAACAATATCTCTATCCTAACGCTCAAAACAATTTTTTAAAATATATTTTTATAACTATTGAACGGAACAATTATTCATAAATACTCGAACCAGCGATACCAATGTTGTTGCATCTCGTAATTCCATTAGACATAACAAAATATACGAAGAATTTTAATAAGCATGTAAAGTTCACAAATAAATCATTAGTCTAATTATATTTTATCCTAAACAGTTTCAATATCTAAACAAATATCATAATAAAATAATTTTTTACTCTCAAGATATATACTCAATTGTACACGAAATTCGTAGCTATTATGACACCGACTGGTCTTTGTTCTTAATTCAGACAAAGAAGCGATTATTTATTCCTTAATAATTCATGTCTTGTTTAATTATCATCAGTACCTTATTATTAGAATAACCATGTTCTGCAACTCGTTGACTCGACAAGTTAATGGCTTTTAATAATGGCAAGTTAATAATGTATGGAGAAACCAATCTAATTACCTAGATATCTTGGCCGCAAACTGCATCAATCCCGCAGCGTAATTTTTCTCGGTCTGCAGATCAAGGTATCGATCTCTTAGCAGCTTTTGGTCGCGACTCAGTGGATGAGGCCTGTAAAAGAAGAGTACCGCCTCGGAAACGAGCTCGGGCCTAAGCTCACACGTGCTGTTCTCGTCAGGGGCTATGACAGCTGCGTTGCTTTCCTCCCGAATCATTCTCTCGAACTGATTTATAGGTAATCGACCGTCTACGTTCTCGCTGCCTATAGTCTCGATATAGGCCAATGCCTGCTCGTTGCTCGTGAAACCCGTAACAAAGGGTACCGCGTAAATATCGTCAAGCTCAACTTCGCGAGGGTGTCTAGGCAAGAATGCGCCCTCCGTCGAGTTGTTCGTCTCCGCGTCGACAATTGGGCCCCAAGTCTCGATGTCCGCCGTCTCACGGATCAGTATGTCGATGTCGACATTGCGCAGACATTGCATCAAGTCGGAAGTCTTCCGATAGCAGCCGAATTTATCAACAACCTAAATTGAGTAGAGGCGTTATTAAATGGGTTGCTGCCAAGGCCGGAAATTACCAATCTTGTACCTGATCGACAATGGGCATCTCATCTTGAGGCGTCCTGACCGAGTTTATGGGATCACCACTCATGGCAATGGCCTTGGAAAACTTGCCCTTACTGAGGGGACTCATCATATGGAGGCCAACGCTGATGGCCCCGGCACTGTGTCCATAGATAATAATGTTTGTCGACGAGCCGTCGAACAGTTCGATGTGGTCCTTCACCCAATCTAATGCCGCTATTTGATCTAGCATTCCATAATTGCCCGGCGACTCCGAGTCCGTTGTCGTGAAGAAGCCAAGAATGTTCAAACGGTAGGCGATCGTCACTACGAGTACCTATCGAACATTCACGGATTGGTTAATGCACTTCCGAGCTTGTATGGAATTTATTTATTAAAAAAATAAGAAAAAAATAAAAATATAAAAAGAGAGACAGTATTTAAGTCTCGAACATATATTAAATCTATCTTCTAACATCAACAATACATTTTCCACTAACAATAAATACACTAATAGAATGATTATATTTCTCCAATAAAACATAAACAAAATTAAAAAATGAGGTATTATAATTATTTAACATTTATTTTAATAAGAATCAGTTTGTTTGAAAATTTGTATAATCAAATTAGTTTAAAAATTAATTTTTAATAACTATTAAACGATTAAATAATACAATTCATTTTTGAAAAATATTCTTATATTTACTATTATGTATAATAAATTGTTTTAATCGCTTCTAACTCATTATTACCATAAAATGCATATCTTATCATATACCATATGATTTTTTAATTAAATTCTTGATAATCATGAAAATCTAATTTTATAATATTTAATCGCATTATATATCAATAATAATATAGTATATTCGTACAAACGCATTTTTTAATGATTTCTAGTTTTTCAAGATAAAACGAGCCTATTATATTTTTATTACAAATTATACATACACAGTGTTGAATATATATTGATTTATATATTATTTTGCTATTTATATAATTATCATTAAGCAATGTTATTGTACGAATATGTGCATGTAAATTTATTTATGAATTAAATAACTGAATATTTGAAAAATATCTGAATATGCCGCAATATTTGTATAATTGTCAAGAGCTGCAAGTTCAATGTAATTTAAAATGTAAAAATATTCCTAAAATTACGTGAAATTACGTATAATTATCAATAAATAAATAATTGAAAAAGCCATTCGAGACTATTATAAATTTATAATCATTTAGAATTAACATTGGATATCGAGCATCGGACATTGCTCTTGCTATATTAATATAGCAATAACATATCTATGATATCGCCTAATGCATGAAACGCTATCTCTCTTTCCTTTAACACACGGACCCATTGACTCCCACTGAATCGAGGGCATCTGTTCCTTTGCCGTGAGAGTTAATTAGTAGCTGAGCGTCGCGGGAATATTGGACAAAGACACTTTGTTACCACATAATAAAATGAGAGTATCCTTAATGAACGATAATTACACCTAGCAGAAATAAATATTAGGCAGTAGCTTATTCTTCTCGTAGACTACATCGATCACGACAGCCATCGCCAAAGACGCATTTAGATCTTAAAGGTCGAGTAAATAAAGAAAATTCCTCTTTGTTCCATCGTAACTGTAATACAATACGAACGGCACTGTCTCAACTTTTTAAAAATACAATACTCTGAAGGATGCACCCGATACAACCCGACTGCACAACTTCTTTACCGTTCTCATCACTTGTTTGCACACGCAGCGATTGTCAAACCTTTGAAGGCTAGTTCAATATCTAACAGATTACGACAATTCTGTAATTTTGTCTAAGATATATCGACATGAGTTGCAGAATAAAACTTATATAAATTATCCAAAATTAGCATGCTTACAAACAAAATCGATTTTTGCTTCAATAAGTTTGCCTTAGTTATGTGCACTCGAAATATATCAAATCTGAAGATATTTAAATTAGATTCCGATATTGATATGAATTTAAATATACATTTATATAATCGAGAAAAATTTACAAAAATTATTATTAATATTGAAAAACATAATTATAGGATGGATTATGAACATTAACTTTATATCGATGTAAACTCCAGAGCCTTTCTAATAAGTTGTTACAATACACAATTACAATAATTTTATTAAAAATTAAAATAATCCTCTAAAATTTATTTTATTTATTTATTTATTTTATTAATTTATTTATTACATAATGTACTTTAGATGTTTTATTTTTAAAACTCAAATGAGAATATATATATTTATATAACATGCGTATTCAAATGTAACATAAAAAAATACTAAAATTATAGGACAGTCACTTATTTAAATTAAAGAAATTCAAATAATATATATTTATTTCAGCGTATAACAACATTATTGATATTTTGCACGAAAAATGATTATTTAATTAAAATTAAATTTATGAACAAACAATTACATGTATTGGCAATAAAGTTAAGACTTTTCGTTTGTCTAAAGATTAATATTATATATAAAAACTTGATCCATAAATATTTACTTAGATAGATAATAGAATAGTATTCAAACTTTCTTATTAAAACATCTACTCATGTTTATAATGGCCATTTTTACCAAAAATTTGATTTTCATTGTTAGAAGAGAAGCAATAAAATAAAAATTTTTATAAAAATTTGATATAAGCACCAATTAGAGATATTAACAATTATGGTTAGACTTTTAAATTACTTTTCAAAATAATTTATTTATTAGATGTTCAAATTATTTAACGTTTAAGAATATTAATTTTACGTATACCTTCAACGTATGTTCATTGATAGCGACTACTATCTTTATGGTTGTAGTATTAGAGCAATGATATAATATTAGTAGCATATGAATTTAATTTGAATGTTTCGATTATTATAGATTATATTTTTATCAGCTCTTCTCTGTCTAAGATTCGAAAAAGTATTTATTAAAAAAAAACAATTTAAAGTCATTGGAATAAGTAATTAATGATTAAGCAATCTATTCAATGAATAAGCCAGATATCGTTCTCTTTGAAATTAATATGCTAACACACGAAACTGTGTGATTCCTACTCATGTATAATTTACTTTCATAATAAATATCGAATCAAGTTTCCCTATGCTTAATCACAATGCAAAATCGTAAAAATCCATTAAACATTACAAATAGCATTGCAATGTTAAATGCAGGATTTACATTGTAACGCCACTAGGTACATTCTCATTACATCGTAAATATATTGTCTGGAACGAGGCTATTAAATGCATCGTAGCTTACGGTTTGCCTTATTTTTATCGCGATAAAAAATATCGCGCATAATTTGCTTATTAGGTTATATAAGGCGTTACGCTGAAGCTGTTAAGTAGATTTTAACGTAAAATGAGAGTAAAAGTAGAGCATTGGGGGTAGTCCGCTGCATTTTACAATTTTCTAACTTTTTACATCACAACGTAAAAAATGTGGCATTTGAAGAATATTAAATACATAACATAATATCTGAATTTAAAGGCAAGATTAGTTAAGATTCATTTACCGTCATTAAAGTTTTTAATAATTTTTCACATTAGTAGGTAATGAAATAAAAGAATTTTATTGTAGAATGAAATTTCAAAATAATTATTTTTTTTTATAATAAATTAATTTTAATAGGAAAATACGAAGAAAAACTGTATTATTTACAAGTAAACCCATTTATATGACTACTGCAAAATATATTTTTTTAAATAAATCACTATATTACGTGTGCTTGAAAGTACTAATGTGTATATTAGAAAGTATTATGCGGGGAATAACTTGTAATGAAAATTAATAGCTTTTCATTTAATTTTTTAATTTTATTAATATTAAATGAACTTATAAAATAATATTAGTAAAGGTATTTTTACATGTATTAGGATAACTAGAAGAAGTTAAATATAAATTATCTACAGTATTACTGTACATGATAAATTAGAGTTTAAAATTTTAATTATTAATTTTATAACATTACGACTTTACAAATCTCTTTATTGAGAATCTGTTATCTACTAGATGATATTTTTTTGAGACATTCGAGATATTATCTATCAAATTTATAGTTACTTAGTTTTTGCAATTATTTCACAAATTAAATGGTATAGATAATCATCATAATAATGATTATAATAAAGAAAATGCCTAATCCTATAAAATGTATTATACAAAAAGGGTATTTACACAGAAAGAACCTTTTTAAATCAATCTTTATGTACGTTTATCGAATACGTTTAATTTTATAAGACAGATGTTTCGGAATTGTTCAATAAGCGCAGTATAATTATTCTGTTGATTTGACTTGTTTTTAAAATGACATAAAGGTCTCGTTGGTAAAGTTCAAAGTGTATCGAGACAATTTACATGTAATAAGGGATGAAATTTGAAAAAATTATGATAGATATTCCATAAATTCTATCTTACATTTGTTTAACTGAACGCGCGAGATCTACGTATCCAACGAAAGAGTTAAGCTTTGTGCAATGAAATAATCTATACTAAAGCATAGATTGTTTTAGAGTGGAATTCCCTGGTCCATTCGATCAATGCACTTTCCATTCGGTTTGCCGTTCCAAAAGTCACAATTATCTCGTGGCTAATAGTGAAAAAGTAAAAAGTGGAGAGAGTAAATCGCCCTTTATATGCTTCCGGGGAATCCCACTCCAAAATATGCAGGCCAGTTTCAAATCCTGGAGAACTTAACCTTCTGCTTAGTGACGAAGACGGAAGCATCCCAAATTGCTGGTGTGCCGGTATTAAAGTCGCCGCCGTGAAACCAAACCATCACTGGCCATCCTTCGGGTGGTCGATTACCTACACATAAATTAATCATCGTTACTTATACGTCGGTAAGGCTACGTCGGTCGACTTCGTTATTTGGCGACGTATTTTCCGTGCAGTGAAGCACCTGCAGGTTAATGCTTAAAATCTAAAACCTTTCGAAATTACTTAGAAGCGACTTATTCTTTTGTCCTGCATTCAGTTCTTTAAATTCCTCGCTTCGCATCACAATGTTGCGACGACTCTCGCGCTTTCCGCTGAAGTTCGAAAAGTAAAAGTAGTGCCCGATAAAGTGCCTTTAACGACATTCATTTGGTTAACATTAACCATCAATATTAATGCCCTTTCTGTAATAGATTTTGAATTATTTAGAGCTCTGGTTAGAATTAAGTGGTTGGCTGAAATCTAACGGTGTACGGTGAAAAATTATAAAACTCGGACAGGGTTCTCGAGGACCACCGGCCCCTCAGCTTTTCCCGCGCTCGACGTCCGGTTCGATATATGGGGGCAGCTTTAAGTGGGCCGACGCATGCCAGAGGCCAAGAAAGTGTACAATAAACACTCGCTGCGACTCACGGCTGGAAACCGCTACAACGAGTTGGACTCGCATATATGAGCGTCGATCACGCAACGGCCCTGTAAATCGAGTCGCGTGAACTGCGAACAGAGAGGGTAGGGTCAATTATCGCGGCAGCCTTTCCTTCCTTTCTTTCATTGCTTTTTATTATCGCACGAATGAAGAGAAAGTAATTTTGGTGTAGGCGATAAGGGCTCTATGTGTTGCCGCTTTTTCGGTGGCCTTGCCTCGCTTCATCCGCGCGGGATTTGAAGCAATTGAAAGTGATTTGATGAAAGAGTCGTTAGTCGGAAATAATTGCACGATATTTCAGCAATTTGCTTTCTTTTACTAAAGACTGAACGTTGCTATTGATTTTTTTATCCTTTCTTTACTAGAGTTTACTCATTGCTTTGATTATGAAACCCGGAGTTTTATCGTTTTGTCAAAAACTTTTCTCATTTTAATATTTAAATATTTAGGCATTATGATCGTTTATATTATCCTATTGTAAATCAAGATAGAAGTAAAGTATTAAACAAATAAAATCTTAACTTTAATCATGATTTTAAATTTATATCTTAATTGCCGCTGCTAATAAAATTACAATAGCTGGTATTTAAAGGGAGGACAAACAGGACGTTCTAAATCCATATAAATGAAAAGTTCAAGTTCAATATTTGATGAGAATATAATTGAAATTGAAAATATAAACAATTTATGTTAGTGGTAGTTCATACCTACTAAATCCTGTGTTTGTAAAATGCTTTGAAATATAAAGATTTTCAGCAGTATATAATAAATATAGATGGCCTAGCAGATTGCTAAAATGCCTTATTACGCTATTTATTTTTAATTGGCGTAATTTAATTATCAAAATTTGTAGTAAGCACACCAGAATACATTTCTTATAATTAATATTCATGAAGATATGTTTATTTTTCATATTCATTGTACCATGATAATTTTAATTTACTTCATTTAATTTAACAGAACAGAAAAAGTGTATTGAAAATTCATAAAAGCAATATAATATTTTTAAGACGAAATAATGTAAACATTCAATGTTTAATAATAATCTGAATAGATATTTTTAGTAATTGTATATGTTCATTACGATTTTCTGAAAATTTATAAAATACACCTACTTTCTGAAAGAAAAGAATGTCTAATTGAAATTTTATAGAATATTTCTTTAAATTTTTATAAAGATTATAATAGTATTATAATGTTTCCGGGACGATGTTTGTTCGATATTTGGTGTGCAGTTCTTTAATCCATGCAATTTTAATACACTAAAATAAATACTCTTCAAAACATAAGAAATTTAAATCAATCTGTAAAAATTATTTGAACAATAGCAATTACAATGGCTTCGCGAATACCGCTAAAATAAACATTAAAATAGATTTTACATATAATAGTTTTAAAAAATGTATAACTATGAAATGACATAGTAGTCAGTGAAAATAACCAGACATTAGACCATATCTTAAGCCAACTGAGTCAAGTAGTTTGTTCGACAAAAATAAGTATTGTGTTGCAATTAAGGTAAGTTCCATGACTGCATCTTAACTTATCATATCAGTGCATCACAAACAATATTTTCGATTCCGAACATGTAAAGCGCGTAATAAATTTTACCTAATATTAGTTTGTCTTATTAACCTTGATTTTATAATACAGACAATTGTTTATAATTAAACATTTGCAATTTGTACTTTAATAAAACTTTACCGCCGCAGTAACTTTCATAACATTTCCTTGGATCGCATGAACTGTATTATTATTATACTTATTATTCCTACCAAACATGAAAAATAAATTATATAGATAATTTGGACATATTTGGATAGTTTGGCATTGTACTTTATTATTGATTCGATTCTATTAAAATCTTAATTTAATTCATAAATAAATATTAGTATAGTAATAATACAAATTTTTGCTTTATTAATATTTAGCGTATTCAAAAGTGGGATATTCTTTTCTGTATGAAACGTTACCGTTGCCCTGTTATTAAATTGTTTAATTTCTATAAATATTTTTATAAGGATTAATAAATACACAAATTTGTAAAGGTTACCTGATTTTATCTCCACAATAAATTAGTCAATAATTAATCATTCATTCACTTTCTAAGAAGTCTTAGTTTCCATTGATAAAAAATAAAGAAATTTCATTATTAATTCTAAAACAGCAACTAATAAATTTATTTAAATTACTAACTATATAAAAAGTAATAATATATGCTTAAATATACTATAAATAATTGTTTATAAATCCTTAAATTAATTTAAATTAGAAATTAAGTTGAAACTAACAAGTTTTTATTGACATTTTTTCAGATTTTCTTTGTTGGTTTTATGTAATGTAATATTTTTATCTTTTGTTGTAGACTATTATATACATTCTAGTAATTAAGTAATCTATGAATTATTTCACTAATTTTCAAGCAATTATTTATCGTTCTTAAATTAAAAAGTTATATGTTGAGTAATTTTTAATCCATGATTGTCTCTTGAAATATTTATGAATTCAAAATGGTAAAAAAGCAGTATAGATAAAAAAAAATACTATTTCAATTATCTGTAAAATTTTGAATAAATACGATATGAACGAAATAAATTATATATGTTCAGGTAATAATAATAAAATATTTTATTATTTTTACAATAATATTAGTTTTGTACATTATTAGTTTTTTAATATAAGTATATAAGACTAATCTATATTAATTGTGTATATTTTTAAAAAGCATAATTGTTAAAATAATATATAATTCATTTGTTATTTGAGACAATTGTGTTACAGCAATCAATAAGATTCTTTTCGATAAAGAATCTGTAAATATTGTAAAGATAAACAATGAAATATTTCACGATCTTTAGTATTTTTATTTGCTAAGACGCATATCTTAGAATTTTATTACTAATAATTGATACGTAATTATATTGAGTTTAAATTTATGAAATAAAAAGGCTAATGATTTCCATTTAATAATTTCATAGAGAATAAAACAATAATTAATTAAAGCAAATCAATTAGAGATATTATTTTTCTTATAATTAGTAAACAAAAATGAGCAGAATGAAGAAAAAGGCCGTATTAAGTTTAAATTAAAAGTTTTGCATTAACAACGATCTAAATGTTGTAACTTGACGGCTTTACATTTCGCATCCCATATTTAATATCTGTATTTATTCATATTTGTACGATGGATTATTTGTATTTTGTCTCTCTACAAAGCACTTTAGAATTTTACAGATAATTTCACACAAATACAGGTAATATCTAATACTCCTATTTTATAAAAGCAATTCAAATGATATAGTGATTTGAACAAAGTATACTTAATAATTTATAAAAAGGCAATCTTTTACCAATAGATACTTTCTCTCTCTCTCTCTCTCTCTCTCACACACACACACACACACACACACACACACACACACACACACACACAAAATTTCTGAAACGATTAACAATCCACAGAGATGTCAGCCTTTGGCCCGATTTTCACAGTAGGAGAGGTAGCGTATCTATTCGACATTCGAACAATTTTTTACCTTAATTCAAACGAGTAATGTGAGGTCGTGTTTGGCTTGCTCCCTTTCTCCTCTTATGCATGGATTCTACATAATCACCGCATCGTGATTGCGCTCGGAGGTTCACTATAAAGATACGAGTTTCGTGATATGTTCCGGATCAACGCTTTGCTGTAGTTATGGAGACAATTGATTTTGAAGATATTAAAGTCTAATAAGAAAGAGATTTTTCTATATCAAATCGGTTTATTTTTCAATTCTTTTTTACGACAGAATTTACTATTGATTTCAAGGTAGAAAGCTTTGTTGGAGGTAAAGTATTTTCCTTCTTTAGAAAATTGAATATACTTGATTACACCAATAATAGTATACACAATTATTTAAATGTCTATTTTTCTCAAATAATATAATTTATATATATATATCATTATTTTGTAAATCGGACTAATTATTTTCTGTATTTGTACAAACTATATACATTTTTCATTTTTTACTTCATTAAAATCTATTGAACCAAATATATAATAAATTCTGATCTTATAAATCGTATTATTAAAATTTTAAAGATTTTGTTAAAATTTATTTAAAATTTGATATCCTCAAGAAATCTTAATACATTGACTTATGAATGTCATTTGCTTATTATTTACATTTTTATACTTTAAACGTAAGATTGATTAAGATCAATCTTCAATCCCGAAGTTAAGATATTATAAACTTTTTATATAATGATAAAATTAATCGATGCTAATAAACTGGATACTATTAGGTACTATTAGGCTCAGGTTTTTTATATTTCAATAGATGCTTAAGAGTAACGAATTTGCTTGGATTACTTGATAAAGAAACTGAAAATTCAATTGTAGTTAAACAGTAACTTTTACATAAAGTGTGTTGTAGACAAAAGACTCTAAATTTAAGACTTATTCATGTGAAATTCATATATGAAAATAAAGAATATCTACATTAGTATTCATGAATAATGTATTGTTATAACGATTACTTGTACGTTTCATATTATTTCACATTTAAAACATCTTTATTATTTATTGAACGTTGTTTCGTAAATGATGAATTGTCGAATTAACAAAATCAACATGAGACATAAATATTATTCGAGTTCCATAAAAATATTTTGAAAATTATCTTTGAAAACATGACTTCAATTGTCTTTTTTAAAAATTAAATTTATTAATCTCCATACATACGTACACGTTTTATCTTTTCTCTGTATCTCTATTTTTCTATTTATGCTTATAAATTCCTCGCATAACTTTGGCAAAATAACGTCGTAGTATTTCATTGAGAGGAACAGAAATAACTACTCAGATACAAACATCATTACAAAATCCCGGAAAAACTCAAATAATCGCATTCTTCTCTTGTAGGGAGGAGAGAGGGGCCAGTATCCTCACGCAACAGTGCGGGGGTGCGGCCGCTTTATGGTGCTTTTCTCAGACATCTCGCGAAGAAATCGCGTGCCACGTGCAAACCTGTCCATCGATTCGTCCGACCTTTCGTATCTTATCTACGACTCTCCACTAGCAGCGGCTCATCCGCGTGACTCTTCCAGACTTCCAATTAATGTTGTCGTGCCCTATTTTGTCGACACCTATCGATTTCACAGAGAGCCCATTTTCCTTACTATTACTTTTTGCAATCCTTTAAATCTGAGCTATATTTTCCACATTTAAATGCTTTTTATGCTTCGTAATTTAATAGACATCTTTCATATATTACTGTTCAGATGTCTCTATATTGTAACATTTACTTTTTATCATTTTTTTGTAAATATGATGTATAAATATACAAATTTATAATCATTTTTTAATGTTTGTATTATTTTATGTTCTCAACTAGAAATTGGTAAAATAGATAATATTTTTCACAAATGATATTTTGATATGAAAATTTCAACATACATATCTCATAAAATATAATGAAACAATAATTTTTTCATGGACTGAAATATTATAAATTTAAACAGTTATTAATAAATTATATTTTTAATATTTTTTATAAAATATATTCTTTGTTTCAAATATTTATATTAAGTATTCTTTATGTTCTTTATCAGAATTGTATCACATTTAATATTGTTCATTTGTTTTCTATTTTTATCTTTATTAATTATGTGTTATTCTTTCAATATACCACAAATAAATTTTTGAAATAATATAAAATAAGAATGCTTAAAAAAAAAGGATATTTACTAAATAGGATGGTATTTTATACGTATAGTTAAAAAACACATATGCATGACATACACATACGATTTTCTAAAACAATAGCTCTCTTTCATAATATAAATAAATAAAAGACATTTTACTAAATATATTTAAAAGAATGTAGTATTAGCGAACTAAGATTCTACTTAATAATAATTTTAGTACTTAATTCATAATCTAAAATTATATCGTAATAAAACTAATTTCATTTTTATAAAAATATTTGTAATAATTTATACCTATAGATTAATTAGTATATTATTTCTATTAATATTTTTGCATGATTAATAACATTGTTAATTGGTACGTAGCTTTATCTTTATTATTTTTTTGATTTACTGTACATTCAAGTAATCTCATGACATAGCTTATACAAGTATATTATATCCTTCGAATAATCCTTAAAATGAATTTTTTTTAAACTACAGAAACGTTTTAATAATTGTAAATATGATTTGCATATCTGATAAGCATGTACACTTTTTTTAAAAACTCGCATTACAAACGAATTGAGCACTACAATTTTAAATAAATGTAGCCTCGATTGAAATAAAGCCTTGACCATAATATGGTTATAATGATTTTTAAGAATTCCTTCATTAAATGAGTTAGTGAATTCCAATTCTTGGATACAGAGTTTTATTTCATAAGTTATAGTAAATGATGTATGTTATAATGACGTAATACTATTCCAATAATATTCTGTGTATCGAAGAACTAATAAATTTGGACCTTAGGATACAGAAACGTTAATATTTTAAAAGTCATGCAAACGATAGTCTACAGTATGGATTAAAAAGCTGACGAGCTCTGAAAAAGGGAATTGTTATTTAAATCGCTGAATGGTGAATTTCCGAATTAAAATTGAACTTGAAGGCCACACTTTGACATTGCATGTGGATAAATAAGGGGACAAAGTGAAAAGTGCAAGGAAGGGCGATCATCAAGAATCATGGGCTTAACCTTCAGCATCACCCCTTCCCAGCCCCCATTACCAGAATCCTTGATAGCATCTTTTAGCTTTTATAAGTACAATTTGTCACTAAATTTGCGTAGATTGCCTTCGAAACTTTGAGATTCAAAGCAAGTGAGAACGAATATTATCGTCGCAATAGTTGTTTCTTTTTTAAGTGGAACGAAAGCAAAAAATAGGTAGAAGGCGATATATCTTTCGAAAGTTTGAAAATTCGCGTGATAGACACTTATATATTTGATCTCTTATTTAAATTTAATAATTCTATTATTTGCAATCTGATTTTCTAAGCGAATCAATTTTTTATTATTTTAAAACATTGATTAAAAGTATATCCATTTATTTCGAAATATTACAATGCAGTAAAATATTAGATAATAATTAGTAAAAATCGAAAGTACACAGAAACATGTTTAATTTTTTTTTCCATTATAATTTAAAATATCTTAAAATCGGTGCATTATTATGAAATATTTCTTAAAAACCAATAAATAATATAATAATTTTTTCTATAATTTTTCAAATACAACATGTGTTTCATTTTATAAGTAACGATTTTTATCTACAACTGAAAAATCTAAATTATGTTCTTTTTATATTTCATTTATATTAAATAGCTCAAAAATGTTACAGTTTTTATTTTGCTTTGTAATTTATTATATATTTTTTATATTTATTTTCTCTGAATTAACTAAAACACGTTTTCATATAAATATTTAAACAACTCTAAAAATGTACATATTTTTCATATAATAAATTACATTATTGATATATTTTGAAATATCACTATTACAGAAATTTCTAACAATATTTTCCAACATAATAAAAATCTACTTTTTAGCATTAATATTTTACAGCTTTAAATTAATCCAATAGTTTAATTTGAAATAAATTATAAAATTTTTATTTACTAGTTGATTTTCCAAATTCGGTATTAAAATATTATTGTAAAACATAAAAATATTTTTATAAAATATTTTTTATAAAATTAGAATAATGAAAGTTTATAACATATAAGAAAATTTAATAATTAGTTTTGTACATTTTTAAAAAATATTTATACTATTTAATTAAATTTGTATTAAATTTAATTTAAATTTTCAGGTACACAAATCTATAATTTAAATTAGGAATTTAGACATTTATTAATATATAACAATTATAAATGTTTCTATATTATTCATTATTTACTCTAGAAGAAAATCAAAAGAATACCACACAATTTAATAATATTATAGTGAATAAATTTATAGCTTTATAGTTATAGACAAAGGTTACCTATTATATATTTATATATTTACTTTAGCGGTCGTGTATTAGAGGTAAAATAGTAATTAATAGTTTCAATTCCTATTTTTATCGAGATTTGATATATTTATGTTTATTTTTTTTGACAATGTGTACTAAATATATTTGTGTTACACATTCATCAATGTATTAGATCAAAGCTGTACAAAATAAATCTACATTACCATTATTTTAATCTTAATTAGATTTAATAGAATGGATTGTCATTAAAAATATGTCTCCCATATGAGAATAAACATAAGCAATTAGCTAATGTAAATGTCATTATTATTAAAACCATTAACAATTAAGCAAAAGCAAAAGCAAAAGAGATTAAATAACGTAGTAGGTAAGTTGACTCTCACTGTCAGGTACGTAGATGTTAAGAAAAAGGCAGTCCTCGTTAAAGTTGGGATTAGCTTGATCGGTGGGCAGGAGTCGTAAGTACAACCTCTCATGCAGCTTGTGCCGGTTAGTCAACTGGGGGCAAGAGGGCCCGAAAGTTGAAGCATTTCGGAGACCGGACCATGTGGGTAGTGGACGAGTTACAGGGGCCGCGAATCGCAACTCCTTCGTCGGTGGTTGCGCGTATGGAATGCCCAGATACTGGATAACTCTTTGTGTTCTGGTTACAAGCACCTGTGAACGATGCAATAAGAGAATTACGAAATCTATGTGCTCCAATACCTAGGAAATTGAGCATTGTAAGACAGATGACATTAGTTGGATTATATTGATATTACTACAAAAACGAATGCTTATTAATGTATAATTGAAAATTAACGCTTCAATTACGCTCTCTGTACGTGAAACCATGTTAATACTAAACATTAGGTATTTGACATATCTTTTTATTCTATACTTTAACAATATAAACATTGCAGGTCATCATAAAAAGTAGAAGTTTATTTGAATTTAAATGTATTTCTATCGCAAGCAATAGAGAGTAGAATTATTTATTATATTTTTTATTTTGTTCCTTGTAAATGTGTACACTTACATTATTTTTCACATCTTTTATGTCATATTTTGAAAGTGTCAAAGATTTTGAAGCTCTAAACTATTATACAAATACTTTTAAAAAATGTTAATATATAAATTTCGTTAGGACGCTTCAAGTTTTACGCTTCAAGTTTTTATGTAATAACAAACAATCGTATTTATTTTAATTATTATACACGATTTATTATTGACTAATTATTTATTTATAATGTCTACGTATATTTTTTATATTGCAGTGATAATGTATTTAAATTTTTTATTTTCTATCATTTTAGTAATATATTTTATTTGAAAAAAATAATATTTTTACTACGAAGCTTTCACTGTGACTTCAAAAGTAACAATAATATTTCAGTTAATTAATCCTCTATAATTAAGCAATTAAAATATATATATATATTTATGATTTCAACAATTTAATATATTTACATTATTTGTATAAATTTATGTTTACAATATATTTTATTTTATTTATTCATACAATTCATATAATAGAACAATACCTTATTTATCTTACTTGTTTTATATTAAAAGTAATAACATATTTAAATTAAACTAAAGTACTCGTAAATTAAAGTAAAGTACTAAAGTAAATCACTAGTTAAAAAAAAATCTAGGTTTATTCAAAGATGTATTGTTCTTATTACGTAATCAAAGATAACATTTTTTACTACAATATGTAATTCAATGGATTTTATCGACTAGATTTAATTTTTTCCAGATTTTTGCAGATTTGTTTTATGTATAATGTTATTTTTAAATATACCTGAGCCTAATATCTTAGTATTTCATTCTTTTTCTCAATGTGTCAATCTATATTAGTTTTTAGGCAATAATTTACACATAAACATTTGAGAATTACACAAATATCTTGAATTAAATTAAATTATGACATGAGCTATTGTTTTATGTTAAAATTTAATAAAAACTTAATAACTTAAATTTAAGTTATTAAAAATAAATTATTCATATTTATTAAAGAAATTTTATGGGCTTCAGAAACCGGCTATCACTGAATATATATATAATTATATTCATGTAAGAAATATGATATTAAAAATAAATTATTTAACTTTATGACTAGTTATATTTTCTACTATGTAAGATTGTAAGATAATTTTTCAATTTTATTAAAGTACTTGTCATTAGAAAAAGGAAATTTTAGCAGACAATATTCCTTACATTACTTTACTTTCTGTAGTTTTTATCTTACTAATATTGTTTCTGTTATAAACGAGAAAAATATTTAAATGCTATGAATTACAATAGATATTTTTACTTTAAATAGTACATCTGCATCATTTTTAGATAAAAATGTAAAATTAGTCCAAATTATGTATGTTACTTATTTTTATGATTGCCCAAATATTTGATTATTAATTATTATCTCCAATTTCGATCTTGAATTTAGCAAATAAGAAAGATATGTTTTTTGAAATATTTACATTCTTTATGGTTGAGTAATATCTATATATGGTTACTATTAAATAATGCAATAAAGCCATATTTACAGTAGAAGTAATTATAGATGTAAATCTGAAATAAATTATTGGAAAAAATTTGAATTTAATAAAGTATTCTTTTTGCTAATTAAGAATATTAAAAAAATTAATGTGCTATATACATTATAATATTAAAATCAAGGTCTAAACTTGCTAATATTATGAGTCCCGTTATATTAACAGTAGTTTTGCTTTATGCACATGTGAAATAAGATTTACTGTATTAAAACATAACATTTTCTAATTACACAAACTATATAGTGTAGAATTGGTATGTTTAATTATAACTTGGATTTAAATTAAAATAAATTTAATATGAAACTATATTCTTTTGTGAATTGTTGTGTTTTGTGGCCTACGATTGAATTTTTAACATTGATATATATTATTAATCGATATTTTCCTTGCGAATATTAATTATGAATTAAATTTTGTATAATTACGTAAAGAAGAATCGTTTTACTTTACATTATTTATCAAAAATCAAATGTTTATACAAATATTCCGACATATCTAATACCTATATATTAAGAGCTAATTAGAAAATAACACATTCAACAATGTACATATCTCATATTTTTCATATTAATAATTATTAATTATTCTATTGATAATTAATATGATTGATAAAAAATACACAATAATTTAAAGTACTCTTATTTATAATTTATATAAAATGTAAAATCTCGGTATTATTAATACGTTACTGTATGACGTATAATAACAAAATGAAATCTGTATATAAAAATTCGATATCGATTAAATTGTTAAAGCTTTTTTAAAAACATTGAATAATTGTTGTCTAATTTATTAAAATGTAAGATGTGTTAATTAATAATATTAGAATATTAAAAATTTTTTTTTAATGTTTTTAAATAATATTCATATCTTAATAGACACTAATTATAAACATTGTACAGATATAAATACATACATTTAATATCAATTGAAATGTATACCTATCAGAATTATATTAATAATTATTTATTTATACATTAAACTTTTATTTAATAAATCTTTACATAAAATGAATGTGTATAACTGATTTATATAACTAAATAATATTCTATTAGAATTTTTAATTTGTTAAAGTAATAAAATTAATCAGAAATTATTTTATAATTTCATTAATTAGTGTAGTAGAAATTAGAATATATTAACAAAGTAGTGTTATAATTAATCGTAAAGATGAAGATTAATTTTAAAAAAGACAATTCACAAAACTATTTTAGACAAAAAAATTTCTTACTCAATAATATGGACTATACGATTTTTTAGATCAATATCCTACCAGTATAACTTTTCATTGCCAAATAAAATTAAGATAACATCCCTTACATCTAATTTTACAAACACATTTTTATAACCCTGAGTTACTATAAAAATCCTGTTCTTTTCTGAATTCATTAAAATGTAGCGCCTTTAATAAGTCCATAAGAATTCGATCGAAGCGTCGGTAGATTGCGGATATCTATAAAGAATGATTCAGCTCGGATATATCGATCTTCTTATCGCACAATCTTAGCTTTCCTTCAGAAATACTTTTAATGAATCGAAATGCAATACTGACCTTCGAAAACAGGAATACTTACACGATATATGAAAAGGCCAATAAAATAAAATACAATTACGTATCTACGATTGCGATTATCTATTTACTATTTTTTGTTTTATGGATAGAAAGTGAAAGAGTAAAATCTTTATAAAATCTTTCTTTATAAAAACATTAGTATTTTTGTTTATTTTTTAATTATTGCTTAGTTTATTATCTATGATATTATAAGTTCCGTATGAAATTGACTTTTTTTCTTATTAAGATAAATAATTTCTAATTTAAAAATTGTATTTTTGTCACTTTCCGTTTTATTTTTAATAACATGAAAAATTAAAAAAAAAGTTCAATTATCGTTTAAACTTTTATTTTTAAGATACTTGTTTTTGATATTCAGGAAGAAACAACTCTTTAAACACGTTGATAAGTTAGAATAATAATTAAAAATATGGGGTGATAAATGAAACGAGTCTAATAAAACACTTGTTTTAAGTGAAGTTTAATAGTTTTTTTTCTGAATACACGCTGTTGATTGTTAGATAATTTATTTTTAATTAAACTCTTATTACTATTTAAATTATAGAATTTGCTTTACAAGTATTGTAATAATCAACATATTTCTTCTAAAAAGTTATTATTAAATAGCTCTTTTAAAATATATCATCGTAGACATGTTGAATACCTAACACACATTCAAACAAATTTTTATCACGAAAGTAAAGGCTGTCATAAAGTTCCACAATTTGAATTTTAAAAACTGATTTACAACTCAGTACATTGGTACAGACCTTATTAAGATGTTACATTACGAGCATTAATACTTGTACCGTTAATGCTATTGTACAAAGTATTATAGGTTTTCTTGAATTTACTATCGAGCATGAGATAAACTTTTTTCAATTAGTAATCCGTTCGTAGTTTAAAAATCTTAGACTTTATATATTTTTTAAAAAAATTAAAAATATTAAATATGTTAAATAATAAATTTAAATGTATTTTATGGGATAGATCTATTTTTATCATGATTATAAGTATAATTTTTTTTTTCAATTAAAAAATAGATAATATCATGTATATAACATGTAAAATTTTATATATAATATGAAATATAATTATTTTGTAATGTAATAAAATTCTAAAATTAAAACAAATGCAAACGATTTTTCAAAATATGGTCGTAACTAAATAACTATTATAACGAATAACATGTGAACACTAATTATAATGTAAATAAATTATAAATTATAAAATTCAGATACATCAAATAAGATTTATTTACTTACTATATTAAGATCAATTTTCTTCATTGAATACTATCAATATTATTATCAAATATTTATCTAGCATACGTGTTCAACAAATAAAAATAAATTCAATTACGTATAATCATAAGATATCACTAATGTAGATTATAGAACAAGAACATAGAATAGATTCACGAAACATATTCCGTTAGAACATGTAACACATAACTAAAAATTGAAAAGCTTTGGGATATAAATTAGTGCAAGCATCATACTTACAGAAAATATAATACGTATCTTCTATTTAATAAAAAGCATTTCGAATCTCTTAATTATATTATATGGACATTACCAAACGCGAAGTCCTTGAATTTTTGCGAGGTTAATCTGAATTTCAAAACGATCTCTTTTCTAATTTAATACTAGTCATGTATAAAACTAACATAACTGAATTTGAATTTACAAATAAGCAAGAAATGATCGTCCAACTACGGACGCGGTTCGTATATCGCAGCAAGCGACTTCCATGCATTGGGCAATACGCGACTGTTATTCGTGTATCGGCCTCCGTTCCCGATTGCACTTTGCACTTTGCACTGCAGAAAAAAGTCTGCGTATCTCCGTATCATCAAAATAGAAAATTGTGAAATCTGATGTTACAGTGCAATAGGATTATTTGACAATAAAAATTGTTATCTGTAAATTAAGCAAATTTATAATTTGCTCTAAAGATTTTTTTACTAGATTATTTAGAGTATTTGCATCGATTTAAGCATCGATTTCGTTTATAAATCAAGAACATTCCAAAAAACTTATATACACCCGAGTTAAATATTTAGTCTTACAGTATAATCGACTTTATGTGCTATTAGTATTTAAAGGATTTTTAAAACTCGAGATCGCTATATTTAATTAGTGATACGCAATATTAGCGTAATGTTTGTGTAACAGAAAATAGATTATATTTTGTTAAAAAATTGATCTTTATGGAGTTTTGAAGTAAAATATTTGATCCAGTATTTATGTAACGATAAGATATGGAAAAAATTATTTATGTACACTTCATGTATTCAACATAAATATTTTAACTAATAATCCTCTAAGAAATAAAAACAATAATTTATAGACTTAATTTTATGATTAAAGAATTTAAAATAAAATTAAGTAAATATTTATTTTTAAATCGACGATTATTAAAAAATTAATATTTGTTAATTAAATCCTATTTAAATGTAAATATAAAAATTTTAAATTAATTATTCATTTTTTAATGATTTGAACATAAGCGTAACATTTTAAATAAGTAACATATTATTTAGGAATAGAAATAAGAACAGATTATTGTAGAATTTGTTAGCAATAAAACTAAATATCAATGTTTAAATGTTAAATAATTTCAAAATTTAAAAGAAAATGAGATCATATAACGTATTCTATGGATTAAATTATTGCCTATTAAAATAAAACAAATACTTCGTATATATTACATAAAAAAAAAAAATTTATCATCCATATAGAAAACGTCTTTTTAACATTTTTGTAAAATAAATAACAAATATCTTCAGTGCAATCTCCTTCTACCTCTCTCATGAGAATTATAATGAAAATTGGCAATTTAAATTTCTTGGAATGATAAAATATGAGATTATACTATTATTAATGAGGAACAATATCACGCACAACTTACAAAAAGTATTACATATAAGCTAAATTAGTATATCAAACAATTGCAGTTACAACTTTATAAAAAATCATAAATATTTAATAAAATTATCTTTGTTAATATTATAGTTTTTATCTATAGTATCAAAGAGTTTTAAGGTAATTAATAAATCTTTTTTATAGATTTTATTTTGGAAAATCAAACTAAATTTCATTAAAATATGTAGTAAATAGATAAATTATGCCTGAAATATATAAAATCGTTAATTTACCTTTTTAGTTGTTTTTAAAAAGACTTAATAATGATAAAGTGTCAAAATAAATAATGAAATTGAATCGTTTATAAAAATGTTATTATATCAATTTGAAGTAAATTAATTTCAATTGTATTCATCGTTAAAATAAAATAAATATTAACAGAATTTATAAATATTAAATTATTTAGGCGTATACAACTTTTTCAAATAACTAAATCTTGCTAAGTCTAATATATGATTATTTTTTCTTTTAAAAAGTGTGTTACTATTGATTAATAATTTATACTTTTTTCTTGAAAATTTTTTTTCTATTAATTATTAAAATTAATGTATAGGTATAAAATTATAATATTATCTATGTACATTTAAACATGTAATTGTTTTCATTATAAAAAAAATTTTATAATAAAGTTTATCTTAAATATTTAAACTAATTTATAAATTATAATGATATTTTAACTGTTATAAAAAATAAAACACTTATAATTCACTTTTGAAATGATGTAGCATCTTTAATGTAAAATATGTGTAAAAAATTAATTATTTTTTAAAAAGACAAGCATTAGAAAACTAATATGTAATTATTTTAACTATTTAATATTTTGGAATAATTTTTGTTACATAAAAGAAAATAAGTAAAATTTTAATTCTTAAATTATTAAATAAAATTCTAATATCAAGTATGAAATAATACTTTGTACATTATTATAAGCACTATTATTATATATTATTATATTTAACTATAATAATATGTATTATTTTACATTATTTTTCTCTATGTAAAGTATAATATTTGGAAAAATTCATTTTAATTGCATATTATACCTTTCATTGTACAGATAAATAAGTCTGCGTAAAAATAAATTACATTGAAGCAAAAATATTCTGATATTAGAAATGCAATGTTTGTAATTACTCATTTTTATCATTTAAAGCTATAATACACGCGTGCGCGCACACACGCACGCACATACTCCAATTATAAACTTGATTAAAATACTTTATGTATAATAATACATTTGAATAATTTTTGATAGTTTTAAATAATTTGATTAATTAATGATGACATAGGTCAAATCGTTCACAGTTTCTATATAACCTATTGTATTATATAAAATCAACATTATTAACTTAGGATTAAGCTAACAATTTAAAAATTCCACATAAGAAATGATATAATATATTCATAGTTAAAAAAATAATAAAATAAAAATTAATCATGAGTCACGTTGTTTAATTGCATTTATTATTTTTTCAACGAAGAAGTTATACTATGAATTTTAAATGTAAAAAATTCAGTATGTACAATTATTGATCGTAAACGCCTAAAATATTGATCAATTTATGCGTATAATTAATTCGACATTTTATAAGATTATTAATATTTTTTTCTAGTGAAAGATAGAAAAGATGGATATGATTAAAAAAAAAAACACACAAGTATTTTGCAGTAAAAATACTAAAATAAATAGAGCATAACTTGCTGTTAATACAAAATCAATCCCGGTATATATTAGTATCTCAAAGTCGATATGAATGACAAGATAATTGTTATTTAGATGCAATTTAAAAATAAAAATTACTATTTAGAAAAGTCCTGTTACCATAGCCAATAATAGAATGGGAGACAAAATTCAATTTGCTATTCAGGCAAGCATGCAATAGAACATGTCAAAGTAGTCGTTAAATTAAGTTGGCGATTCAATCTTGTAAGAATGTATATAAAAAGCGAAGGCAGTGTGAAAAGAAGTGCTTTCACGATATACTAAATAAAATCTTACTGAAGCCTCTTACAGATCGAGTCCCCAACTTTGAAAAGCCGCTCGAGCTCATAATGGCGAAGCACTTTGAATATCAAGTGCCACAACGCGGAGCACAAGAAAACCGAGGCATAAAATCAGCAGGCATCACTCAACGGTGCACAGGGAGTCTCAAGCTCCATGGCAGTGCACGCACCTCGCGTCCAACGACGATGCCTTGGGACGGTATCCTAACGGTGGGAAGCTCGCGAACTCCCGGTGGACCCTGGCGCGCGTGTCCTCGCTGGGCCCGGGCCCCGAGTCCCATCAGTATCACCACCACCAGTAGCAGCAGCAGCAGTAACAGCAGTGGTGCGCCGTGTCGACCCATTGTCCTTAGTAAGTCGCGTGGCTCAGCGGCGACGGCTGCCCGGCACCGACTGGCTCTCCGCACCGCCTCGCGTGACTCTTCGCGACGGCTCTCCCTTTCCTTCTTACTCACTGCCCGTGTGCGTGTGCGCTCCAGTGCCCGCGACTAACTAACACAGCCCCCGAACGAGCTTTCTTTTCATATCCTTTTAGTACTTGGAACTTATCAGCACTACCGTCCAGAGAGTATAACGAAGAGGGAACCTGGAGGTGCGGATGCGAGCGAACGCTGTACCGTGGCATCAATCCGTGTGGCCAGGATTCGTAGTCCGATGAGAAAAGAGCCTTTCAAGGGCTTAGAAGACGTTGTTTAACGCTTGGAACGAAAGGATAATTAATAATGCTTCACCGATGTTTTTTTATACCAATATATTTGCAGGCTACTCCTGCGCAATCCAAGTTGCTATCCTTCTGCCGCGCCATACGTCGTCGCGCAGTAACTTATCACATTCATTATTAGACATTTTTAACGTATAAGTTATTATGAATTTAAATATATATATATATATATAAGCAGCACTTGTATGACTTTACTTAATGTTATTATAACACATGATTTTGTGAATAATAATAATTTATTCGATAAATAAATGGCAGTAGCTATTATTTACTAACTATATTAAAAGATCAAAGCCCTAAAAACAATTAAAAAATTACACTTTAAAATACTTTGATTAATATACGCTATAATGTCTATAACATCAACTACTAATTTTTATACTTTTTTTTATATTTCTCATTTATATAAATTTATTGATTCATTTTTCGACTAAAAACTTACAATCATAATTAATAAATAGCTTAATGGACCATGATTATTAAAAATCAATTCTTACAAAATTTTTGTTTGTATTATTTTTAATACTTTTTGACATCTCTACATAAATGACCCTCCACTTCTAAAGACGTATTTTCAATTATTAGGAATAAAAATAGATACATATTGTTTCGATGACCATTCTTTATTTATGTTCTAACATTTTGAGAATTGATATTTACAAATAGCCTTCGAGATAATATAATATATAGTCATATAAAATAAAATATTACTATAAAGACATTATAGCCATTAAAAAAACTTTAATTATTTATGCAGGATTCGTAAGTTGGAATTATGTACTTTATATTTATAAAGGCATCTTCTCCGCCATATTGTTCAAATATTTCCAATGTTTCTTGAATTAAATCAGGTACATTATCTCCACGTTGCTGAGAATAATCTATTGCTTCACCTAAATTAACTAAAATAAAATATTGCATTAATAAATAGTATACATTTGTATAAAAATCAAATGATGTAAATTGAACAAAGAATGAACTTACAAAATATACTGCATACATTCTAACTTCATCCTTTGTTCTAATTTACATATTTTTAAACACATATTTAAACACTTACACACATGCAAACACGCGAGCTTTTACACAAAATTAAAATATGTATAATAATTTTGTTATCACTATATAATAGTATTTATATTTTAATTCAGCAGAAAGTGAAAATATTTTTAAAAAATTTGTAAATATTTATAATTCTTAAATAATTTAATAAAATATAGAATATAATTATTAAAAACTTTTTTAGGTACTTCAATTTTTTAATTAATGTCTTATAGAAAACAATTTATCATTATTTATGAAATTATTCATCTTACAAATAAAATAAGATAAACTTTATATAATTTAATAATTTGTTGTTAATGATAAAAATAATAATAAAAATAAATTAATATTTTTATTAAAATTTGATTTGACAAAAACAATTTCTATATGGAAATATAGTTTGACGATGCAAAATATATATTATTTATTCTTTATTTTTCTTATCAAAGTATATATGTATGTATACTATAATTTTTTATAGTATATCTATTTAACAAACTAAATATTAATTATATATATTTAATATTTAATAAGGAAAATTTTAAATATTTTTCGAAAACTATAATAAAAAATAAAATGAACTAATACGACTTTTGCTATGAAATGTCCGCCTTGGGTATCCATTAATAGGTTATAATTGAACAAAATAATTTGATTTATGTAAATTAAAAAGTCATTTGATTTTCATATTACGATAATAGCTAAGCGAATGGATTGTACAGAAAATGAATCGGTGAAAGCTTAAATTCTTACTAAAATAAGTTAAAGTTTTTTCTTCCGGTAGCATTATAATTATACTATAGAATATCATGACGTTTTTCATAAATAAAAATAAATCATTAATGCAAAAGAACGTTAGTAATGCCCGTTTGTAAAAAACATAATGTAACGAAGGTCGCGTAATAAAAATATTTCACATTCTTTCAAAGTAGTTTTAATAATATTTTTTATTTTTTATACAATATTAATGTAAATTATAAACTATAATATTTTATGGGAATAATGTATATAATAAATAAAAAATACAATAAATATATATATAATAAAATGTTAACAAATACACTATGTGAATTTGTTGAATAAAAATATTTGAATATATTTAAATATTTATAATAATATTACGAATATTGTAAATTCGTTTTTATTTAAATATTTTTAGTATGTTTGCAATTAAACATTCTAAATCATTCTAAATGCTTTTATTAAGATATAGAAAATAAAATTTTCTTGTTTACCTTTTTTTTCCTTAAATAGATTAAATATCGGTAAAATTTGTCGAAAATATGGTACCAAAGCTTCACCAATGCAAGGTCCACAGCGAACTAACCGTTGCAAAATTCTACATGTTCTACAAATAACTTCAGGAATTTTCGTGTCGAGAGATTCTGAAAAAATGTGATTCAATAACACAGTTTTAGATAAAAATTCCATTTTATATCATAATGAGATACATCCTTAAAAACTTAATTTGTCTATAAAGTAAATGCGAAATCTATATTTTGCAAAGCATTCGCATACCAGTTATGTAACAAATAATCTATGCATATAAATTTAATGTTTTAAGTGAATCATATTGAATAAGATTATATTAATTTATTATGTACATTTATAATATAATATAATATTATTATATTATATATATGAAGGTATTATATTAATAGCTTCACAATCACCATTGAATATTAACTATTGTGTAATTATTAAAAAATAAAATCTAAAGTATAAAAAATTATAATTTCTCTATTCTATATCGAAGATTAAATGAGATATATAATAAGATATATATATATATATATATATATATATATATATAGAATAAGTATTCTAAAACTAAAGTATCATAATTTTAAATATCACCTCAACTTGGTTTATTTTTTTAATATTAAAAAATTAGTGTATTTTTTAATGACATTTACACAATCAATATTAAGTAGAAAGTAAAATGATGAAAGCAAATTTTTCGAGAAAAATATTTATTATAATCATTTTTTTATAATAAAGCTGCACGTACCCACACATATCTATATGTATATTAATTATATGGAATATTTACAATATAAATAGTTTAATCTTTTTTAAATTTTATAGAGATTTAATAATGATTTGTACTTTTACTCTGTCATAATTTTTACTTTTACTTTTCATGATTTTCATAATTTTCATAATTAATCGTATTATCGCTCATGGAAAAGTTCTATAAGTAAAATGTTAACCAATACACTATGTGAATTTGTTGAATAAAACTATTTGAATATATTTAAATTTATATTCAAATACACAAATTTTTGGAATCATGAGAATTGTAACAATGTGCTAACCACATTATTGAATTATACTAATAAACAATTTTACTATTTTCTATGGAATTGTGCAATAAAAAAACATTGAAAAATATCATTAGTATCACAATTTTGAGAATAGTGTCGCGGAAAAAGCAAAAGTAATTTTGCAATACTTAGATGCATCGAGTCTCGATCGAATAAGCGAACCTTTGCGCTTCGACAAAGACGTAAAAGGATTAAGACGAACTTTTTATCGGCTTGATGAGGTAGGGAATGACCGGCAGGACTTTGACGCTGCCCACCTCGAGCATATCCGTGATACTTTGCTCGACGATGAAGCTATAAGGTTGTCGGTTCTCAGTCAGGCCGTCAAAGAATAGTGGGAGATAGTATTTGTAGTCGAGCTTTTCCATGCCGAGTTTGCCGGAACTAAGTTTCCATGTGACGTGCAGACCTGCGCCCCCATCGACTTCCAGCGTCAACGGGAACATTCCACGTTCATAGTACTTGCGAAATACCGATATTTTCGCCGGACGCTCTTTGAACAAGCTGATTCTCGGTGGCGAAGCTACCACCGTATTAGCCTGCAAGAGTGTGATGTGGATGGGACTTAATCGAGTTTCTATGCTCTGTTATGAGAAAATCGATGGCACGTACACGTGAAATACAATTTAAAAATAACTTTCTCGGAATACACTATTTTTTTTCATGAATTATAAATCATGATTAGTTTTTAGATGAAATGAATAAATATTTAAATGAGTAAATATTTTACAGAAAAGCACCACTCATTAATGCCTCCTTAATCATTAAAGAGAGAGAGAGAGAGAGAGAGGGGGGGGGGATCTATAATGAAACTATGAATCTTAACAAAAAAAATTAATATGACATAATGTTAGTATATCAAATGTGTTAATAATTGAATAACAAAATAAATACTGTAAAACATAAAATAATTATAATAACTATCAGCCACATACGCAATTATTGATTATAAATTGATTTTTGGTCGTCGTCATCATTCGCGATCAATTCATATATCATCTGTCTAACAATTGTTACGAAAATATATATCGATTGGTAAAATGAAATTAATTCAACAATGAACTTAATTTAAATTTATATAAAAAGTATCATTCTTCATAGATATTTATTATTTTATAGTTGATGTTGGATAAATCTTAAATAAATTTAATCTCTTTACTATACCGTTGATTTTTATTATAAAATGTTAACGTGAATTTATCAATATTCATTAATCATATTCAGCTATCGCATAATAGGAATAATGTCATCTATATTATTAATTATCGCTCAGTTTAAAATACGTTAAAAATATTTTAAAATTATTATTTAAATATTAATAAATATAATTAGTGATTGTAAACTGCAGAAACAACAGAATATAATTCGAAGTTTTATTTAAAAATGCTTTTTAAACCACGTTAGAAATTATTTAAATAATTTTTTTTCTATTTTATATTTTGTTATTAAGAACTACACTTATTTTTAAGCTACTGGTTTATTGAGAACTAGTTATATTCCATATTTTCTTTAAAATAAATTTTAATATGTCACAAATAAAAAAAATATATACAATTTTAATTTTAATATATTGTTTTTTATGTGTATAATTTCTCTCACATTTTGTTATAAAAAATAAACTTATAGTCAATTCTGAATGAGCACAAAAATTATCTTGAAGAGTAATTGAACATAATTATTAATCATAATGATTCTAATTATATATTTGTTGTAGCATAAAAATTTTAAATTATGATTAACAATATAAATTTTGAAATATTATTTTTCAATGAACAAATGAAAGAAGTAAAATTACGTCATTTTAGTTTTTGTCATATTTTTTTTTTTTTTTTTTTTTTTTTTTTTTTTTTTTTTTTTTTTTTTTTATAATAATAACTAAATTTCTTCAAGCAATTTTTCTTTAAACCGAAAATATTTTCTTAAAAATATATAAATTTATAATTGTTTTAAAATCCTATTTGTTGGCGTTTGTTTAAAATTATTAATTTACTTCAATTTTAATCATTTTTAAATATACATTCATTTTATTTTCAATTTAAATAGTATCAATTGAAGTCTTCGACTTCACATATTTTATTTTTCAAGCATAGTTTGAATTTAGTTTTACAGTTATAAATTCTTGTAACTGTAAAAACGATACAGAAATATATATATCCTTTTTAATAAAACAAGTTTGAAAGAAGTAAATAAAAAAAAAAGTACTTAATATTTAGTAACAATGATGAATATTCTGAATATTATAAGCGTTAAATATATAATAATTAAACAATTGAATAACACAGACTAAAATATAGACTGAAACTAAATATAATATTTCCTAAAGATTAATTGGTTCTCAATATAGTATTTACTAATTAAAAAATATATTCAAAAAATTACAATTGTTTTACAATTTAACAATTGTTTATTTTTAAAACAAGGATGTTTGATAATTGTATGACGATTGCTATATTAATAATATTACTAGTATAGTAGTTGTGCTATATTAAATTATATACTTATTTATTTTTAATATGGTATAAGAAATAAATGCAGTTTCCTAATGTATAATTAAATATTTGATATGCTAGTATGTGTCAATTTTATGATACATACCAATTCGTGTCATGTAAATGTAAATTACATAAGACGTAAACTTCTTCTCAATATACATTATTAAGAGAGGTAATAATGAAACAATAATTTCTCAAATAAAAAATCTTTTAATAATTTATAAATAATATTATTTATTTATTATTATTTAATAATATTTAATATTTATAATTATTTTATAGTTTATTAATACGTTAAGCAATTAATGTTAATATGCAAAATAAATACAAAATTAATCTAAAATTGATTTTAATCATTCTGTGAATTTTGAATTAAGCTATCTTTAATTTTAATATTATTTAGAATATTTTGTAATTTAATCAATTTTAATTAAATATTTTTTTTATGAAATATTTAAAAACATAATTTAGAACTACTTCGTAATTATGTATTGATTTTATGTTTAAAAATAAGTTTAAAAATATTAAATTGAAGATATTGTCCATGAGCAGGTAGAAAGTTCATAAAATGTTTATGAACAATCTTATACATATTTCTTTCATTCAACAAAATACATATGATCGCATATGCATTGAATTTTGTAAAACTGTCTTCAGTCTTTATGTCAATACTGCAAATTATAAAGGCAAGTATTAAAGATTTTTATAGGAAATTCACTAACAAATAAAAAATACAATTTAATTAAAATTTAAATGATAGGTTATGAAGATGTATTATAAATAAGGTAATAATAAGTTGATTGTAAGATCTTATTTATTTTGATACTGTGAGGTAATTGTCACAAAGAATAACATAAATTTACATGATTTGAATAATTACATAAATGGAACATATATATTATAATTCATAAATTAAATAAGGCGTATATTAAATTTAATAAAATAAAGAAAAAAAATTATCAGTGTTTCTTTGGATATATGAAATTTATCCCCTAAAGCTAAATATCACCCCAAAGTTTAATGCTAAAACATACTGGTTGACTCAAGAAATTGACACTCACCTGGAGCGCCTGGATAGTGAATGCAGGTACGATTCGCAAGGCTTTCTTTTCGCGCCCGCATTTCTTACGGCGCACCTCACTCCAAAACTCACCTCGGTTCACCATCTTGTTCACTTTTAATCTTTCTAGTTGACCATTGTTGGCCCTCTTCAACGGGGGGCTCGAGTTATTGTGTATCCTAGCAACTGCAATCCCTAGGCGACCCAAACACGTGTTACACTATTGATGAAACTATTGAGTAATCGATTTGTCCAGAAGTTGGGATCGTAGGCAATGTTAATTAATAACGAGGTTGTTGCAGTTTCGAAGGTCTTTTCTAGCCGATGGGTCTAAGAGCGAAAGGAACGTAGCATTTCTGCCTCCGACATGTGCAATGCTTTGAACATTGTAAATTTTTTAATTATGTTAACTGATAATTTAAAACTCCGAATTTTCGCGAGAAAACGATGCATCTATGGATACAATTTATTGACAATTTCATATCGTGACTGTCAAATTTTATTCATTGCCAAGAGAAACTATATCTTTCTTATTAAATATTTCGAAGTACGTACTAATCATTGAATTGCAGTTATTTCTCTCTCTATAGAAACACATAATTATTCGTGCACTACAAAATTCTTTTTATGATTAAATGAAATAAAAATACTTATTTTACTGAACAGTAAAGATTAAAAAATTACTTTGAAATGAAGCATTTCAATAAGTATTCACTTTGTATTGAGTAAATACATCAATAGTATTTATATTGAAAATGATTATTTAATTCATCGGTATTCATTGAATTAGCTGCGTTTTCATAAAAGCAATTCACTTATAAAAATAAATATAGAGAATCGAACATTCCTGTTAAACAATAAAAAACAATTATCACTATCAAATATAAATTAATTTTGTTTATTGTCTTTTTATCACATATCCAAAATAATTAATTTAAATTATAAATAATAATCAATAATTTAATTTTTCATAAATGATAGTTATTTAATATATTCTATTCTGTTCTTATCATTGCTTCATAATTTTAAACACAGTACCTATTTACTTATTTAAAATAGCATTTAATCTAATCTGATTGAATTAGTACTATTTAATTAATAGCGTTAATTTGTTTAAGCATTATCATTTGCGCCTCAAATGATGTCTTGAGACATCAAATATGAGTTTCAATTTCACCCAAGATTAATAATAGAGCTCCTAATTTCTAGCTCTTCAATAATACTATAAGTGCTCTTTGAAAGAATGTGACTCGTGCATTCACAATGTGAAACACCCATTCACATTCGCCTTTTAATGTCAAATTACGTTCTTTTTTAAGGTTCGCACGATCGCGCAAGTTTTCTTGGCGCCTGCCGGTGTTTCAAAATAATTCATCAATAAACTAAGTTCATGGAATTTAGCGCAGTCACGCGGCGCCGTGATCCGATGTCAAACAAGAATAAGGTGCCTCGATCTGATGTAAGATCGAGTAATAAAATAAGAACAAAAAGTACGTGAATTATTGAGGGAGATCGTCGATGATACTCCAAGTGTACCAATAGAAACGCTGGAGAGGGATGGTGGAAAAGTCACTATGGACATCAATACGCAAATTGTGGTTATATCGTATTAATTATGGAATATTTTATTGGCTGTTTTTTCTTTAGAAAACCGTTGCAATGATATTCGAGGATATTTACATTTTCTTAAATAAATCTTTATATGATAATATTAGAGTATAGAAGAATTGTTAAGAAGAATTGTTGCGATGACGAATTAATGAAGTTTATTATTAAACATCTAATAGATTGCATAGAGTTTGTTATTTTATGCTTTTAGATCTAAAATTGGAAAATTTTCGTGAGATTTTATAATACATCAATAAGAATAATGCGAGATACATGTTGCATTATTATTGACGATAATTCTATATTTCCACTGATATTGGACAAATGTTTTAATGTTTACACGTGAAAATTAAAATTAGTAATATTCTCTAAGTAATGCAATAAAATTCTGAAATAAAATCTATTTAAGTGATGTTAATAATTTTATTAACTACTTATAGATTTATTTAATACAACAAATCTTCCCAAATTACTGTTATAATTATATGAAGATAAATAAAATTTGATATAAAAATTTAATTTCAAAATATTTTCTCAAGATATAAATTATTAAACAAATCATTTAATATAATACTAATAAATGGATTAGAACTGTAAATATTTTTTTTTCAACTACGGCATCTTAAAAATATCTATTAATATCAATGACTTAGACATCAGGATTTAAATTTATTTAAGCACGCGAATGACAGCGGCTATACATTACGTGAATAGTTTTTCATTTAAGGTTTCATGTTTAATGTTTTTCTGATATTGCTAAATAGTATATAGAGGTAATGGAAATATAAAATATTCATTTGAAATAAATATTACTTCTTATTTACGAATAATTCACAATTATTTCAAATTATTTAGCATCCATATATAACCGTCTGATTATCAAGGAAGTTGTATCTGCACTTTTGATCAAAAGACAAATATAAAAAAAGAAGGGAAGGATGTATCATTTTTTTAATATATTAATTTTTCATTATTGATTCAATTATTTATTACAATTTTAAATGTGAAATTATACGTGTTATTATCTATTTCTGAATAATTAAATTTTGATAAACATCGTATTTTATCTTATAATAAAAATTAAAATATTATGTTTAATTAAGATATATATTTGAATAATTTTATTTGAAAAAAATAAAGACTTTATTGATGTTTATAAAATATTAATCATTATATTAAATATTATAAAGTTTCCATACCATGTACCCTTAAATCGAGTTCTTTATTCTTTTGCAAATAAAATCTATCATACACATATTATATAAACTTTTCATGCGCTTAAAGTCTCGATGAAAAATAATTGAAAAAATTTTAATGAAAAATAGATCACGTGAACATCGTTCAGTTAAAAAAAAATGTCATTCCCACTGATTTATTATCTAAGAAATTGTTTTATAATTAAAGGATATCAGAGTAGCAAAATATACCGTCAGTGTTGTTATTCAGATTTCAACTCTATCAAAGAAAAACAAAATACAGTAAAAAAGAAATAATATAAAACTTCATGGACGTATCCTTCAGCAAAGTCGAATTAGCATTTACCCCTGAATTTCGTTCATCGTCTTATCGCACACGTGTCTCGATGATTTGTTTTGTCCTACTTTATCAAATTGATTTTTTAGTATAAAATTTATATCTTAATAATGGCTTGGTATTTCTGAAATTAATTTATATATTATTGATTAAGAAACACAGTCATAAGACAATAATGAGAAAATATAATGTAAAATAAATAGTTTTATTCGAGTCAATATCGAAATGAAATTTCGATGATTTATTAATTTTATCATATAAATAAACAGGTTCAATACACCATAGCATCGATGGGCTTTGATCATTGGCAAATCAACTTCTGTCGATCAGTTTACAACGATCCTGCTGCTTATATATATATAATAGTACTTTACACAGTGATTACAAAATATAAAAAACATATGTGTAAAATACATTTTCAAAAATATTTAAAAATTTCATAAAAAAATAAACGGTGATATATTAATTTTTCACGCATATAATTATTTGTAAATAGAAAATTAATTTAATATTGAATAACTATATTTATTCCTTTTTATACATAATCCATATTGCAGTATCATAAAATTATAATTATTATAGTAATAGTAGGTTACATAAAATATTAAGTTCTTAAGTATTAATATTAAATTCTTTGGATATCTTCTTCGATACTCAACTCTTATCTGTCTTATCATAAGATTTCTTACCAAAAAAATGTATACTATTATCTTTAATATCCATAAGACATCGGTTTCATACTCTACTAAATTTTTAGAAAAACGGATTGAACTTTAATCATTCTTTCTTTTATTCTCGTATTATTACTCACCTGAATTTTATCAATTTCTTAGATGTCTGTTTATGTTTTTTTATTAACTTGAAATTTAAATAAGTAACTTGAAAATATAAGCCAAGTTTCCATAAATTTATCAAGTTTGATTGAATGTTCGATATTTTACTTGAATTTGGGAAATTTCGTTTTAATTAAATTAAATAGCATAGTAAATTACGAAAAAGTCTAAGTTGTTTGGAAATAATCTCATTTGTAAAATATTTGTAATTAATAATTGTATGCTTTGTTACAAAATCATTTATTGAATACATTATTTTATACAGATTTTATAGTAATTAAAAAAATTATATGTATTTACAATAGATTCACTATAAATAGTAAAATATCGTAGAATATTCTATAAATCAATCGTTACTGTAATTATTATAATTATTTCATCAATTATTTCAGCATATGAAGTATATTATTACAGTTTTTATTGTAATGTACAATAAAGAAAATTAATTTGTTGTCAATTAACAAGAGCTTCATTTTAATCACTACAATGAAATATTAATTTCTTCTGTATACTTTTAAAAAAAAAATATTCTATATAATTACAACATATAGTAATTTTATGCAAGTAAAAGTAAAGTTACATTTCATAATTACAAAAAATATTAATAAATATATAGGAGACATAAAAAAGTTTTATGATTAATGAATGAATAAATTTATTCAATTTAATTTACTAATTTAATTTTTGTTATTTTTTAGAATTGTACTCTTTATTATATAGAAGTTAATAAAAAAGGTCAATAAAAAATTAAATACCTTCTCTTTTTATTAAAATACAAAATATTTAGTTATTGTCTATTGATATTAATCTTTTTTTAATTTCTGATAGTAAGAGCTTAAATTATTTTATTTAATCGTATTCATTTAATAATATCCAGATATATTTACGATGTAATTATCTAAAATATATACTGCCTCACTGATATTCAAATTGCTTTTTGATATGCTGTATTAATTTTTTAACTATTATAATCGATAGAACAGTCTTGTAATAAAGATTATTGCTGCTGATGAAAATTGTATTGTTTATTTATTTTTAAGCTTCATGAGCATATTATCTACTGCGAATTGAATTTATATATTTATATTATAATTACAAGACTATACTTAAATACTTGGGGAATAGTATTTGAGAAATTGCCTTTCGATACCCTATAAGGCATATAAGTCTACATATTTATTTACATACAATGCAATGCTGCATTTTTATAATCTGACTCTCGAATCCCCTGCTTCATCGTCGTGCATTTAAGATGAAGTTCACGAAAACACTTGTATTTTCTAGGTGACT